GACCTATTCCGGGGGGACGGGGTGCACCTGTCCCCACTGGGCAATGACTTCTGGCTCCACGACTTGCGACGAGCCCTTGGGGACTGGATAGATTGCGGGGTTTGATTGGTCCTCGGTTGTGGGACTTGGCGGCGAGGCCCCTTAGGGCCTCGAGTGGTGGTTCTAGGCCTTGGCAAGGTAGCCTTTAGTCTAACATCAAGTTGGGGGGGATGCATTCATGCTCCCTCCCCATGCGGCGGCGCCTGCAGGGCCCGTTAAAGGGCAAAACTGGGAGTCCCTGGCCCTAGAGTGGTGGTATGTAGGTCAAACTCCCTGGACAAGGTCAGTGGCAGGGCATGCTGTGTAAGTTTGCGCTTTGCAGTCCCCTCTCACTGGGCCTCAACTGCCTGCATATTCTCAGCCAGGCGGGCTGAGAGGGTTACCTGCCAAGGCCTGTGCCAAGTTTCCCACTTCTGAAGTTCAATAAAGTTGTGGCCAATTTGAACCCATACTCTGGTCTCTTGTGTTATCATTTAGGGAAAGGGTTAGGCACCACAGACAGGGTTTAGCGTGTGTGCCCGCAATACTCTGCTAAGCTTTGCATCAGGCAAAAGCACTTCAAAAGTTCACAGGCTTCAAAGTTTTAACACACTGTTGATTCATGTTAAGCTTGGGGGTCTAAAAAGATCCCTAGATGGTTCTCACATGTACTACTTGCAAGCCAGGTGTCCCTCATGTTATATTGGTGCAATTGGTTATTCCTGCCTAAGCGCAGAACTTTACATTTGTCCCTATAGATTTTTTTTTGTTGATTTTGGCCCAGTTCTCCAATATGTTAAGGTCATATTGAATTCTGATTCTTTCTTCTGCAGCATTAGCTACCCCTCCGAGTTTTTGGTGTCATCTGCAAATAGGATGAGCATCCCCTCAATACCTTCAGCCAAGTTGTTTATAAAGATGAATGAATGAATCTTTATTTGTGTCAGCCATTGGCCATAGCAATAAAACAACAATACAATATACAAAGAATACAAATAAAAAGTCAATTATATAAAATACATTTTAGGGTTTTGAATCAATAGCCAAATAGTGGATCTTATTCTGATTGCCCCAGCTAAAAACCTTGCAACCTTTGCTGTCACCTGCTCATCTTGATTTGCCAAGAGAAAGGACAGTGTGGCCCTGGCTGGGCGACCCAGAATGGACAATAAAAGAGGGGCAATAACCTTATTCTTCAAGTCTTTATAAAGAGTGCAAGCCAGAAGGGCATGCGCCACCGATTCGGTATTGCCATCTCCACAGGGACATAAGCTTTTTTCATGTGGAATCTGTTGGAATCGTCCCTCGAGTACAACCAAGGGCAATACATTCAATCTTGCAAGAGTAAAAGCGCGTCTATATTTTAGAATTGCTAGGTTATGCAGATAGGGTGCCAGAGAGTCGAAATGGGAAGGTGGATCCCCTCAATACCTTCATCCAAGTTGTTTATAAAGATGTTGAACAACAATGGACCCAGGACAGAAACCTGTGGCACCCTACTTGTCACTGGTCACTGTAAGGATTGCATCAAGCAATCCTCCCTGTGGAGAGCACTCTGCAGACTAGGGCTGTGAGATAAATTGCCATACCGTTGAAATGACATTGTGGTAAGTCTTTCAACCAGGCCAGGCACGTCCAACTCCCAAGAGACTGCGATCTACTCCCAGTATAAACAAACTGTCAGTGATCTTGCCACTTTTTGGGTGGAGAACCGAGCTGTTGAGCTTTTTTTTAAGGGGAAATGCCAGAAAAAATCACTCACCAATAAAACCGCCACTAACAAACACACGAAGAGCAAAATCTGATGTCAAATGGCCACCCACTTGACCACCTGTCGATCTCGGTCCACCAGTTGGACATGTCTGAACTAGAAAATATACTGGTGAACAAAAGGAGGAGACTGACAGCTTGGGGGGGGGGGCAGTTCAGCTAAACTGATACTTTGCAGATACTATCATCTCTCCTGCTTTGTTTGCTCTCTCACTCCTCCCTCCCTCACATCCTGATAATGATGATGATAACCCCTCACACAAACCAGCAAACTCTTTCAGCTTAACTGATATGTTTCTTGCTACTTTCCTTGGCAAGAAGGCAGACACCCTTTGTTGTCCCTCCCCTTGCTGAAAAATAAGGACATAAATCCTAGGCTGTAACCAATAATCCCTTGCAAGCACACAAACCAACACAGGCCTAACTTCCTGTTCTCTCTCCAAAAACTCAGAGCTCAGCTAATTATGCAGAACCTGCTGACAATCCAGGAGCAACCCCCCATGGCTAGGCAATCAAAGATCCAGCACAAAGCAAACAAAGAACTAAACAAAGAACTGGAAAACACTTCTATTTTTTTTCCCTTGCACCCACCCCCACTGGTGAAAAAAAAGGGAGGATGTATTTTTATTTTCTGGTGGTGTTTACATTGTTGGTTCCCACTAAATAGCTTTCCTCCATATTAAAAAGGAAGGTTTGTTTATTTATTTAAATGAGACTATTTCTTTGCTTGCTTGCTTGCTCTCCCTCCCTCCCTTTGATAAAAAGGGAGAGTCTGCTGGGATGGTGTTTTTTTTGGGGGGGGGGAGGAGGGCTTCTGTGTCAGGGGGAAATAGAGGGGAGAAGATTTAACTGGCTGCCTTCTGCTGAAATGGGAGGTTGGGTACTGCGTGAGAATGATGAGGAGGGTGTTTATCGGTAAGCAGTGCAAGCAAATGTGTGTCTACTCACAAGCAAGCCACACTGAATTCAATGGGGCTTACTCCCAGGAAAGTCAAAGTACATTTAGTTGAACTCAGTGGGGCTTATGCATGCACAGATTCCACTTAGACCTCTGAGTGGGGAAGCAGATGCAACTTGACTAGTAAATCACTTGATCTATTCTTAAATTAGTTGAAAATATATTAAATATATTATATGGAAATTTATTTAATATTTTAATTAAATCTACTACTTCCTTACATTTTAAGGCCCTCCACCACCACGGGAAGGCGCAGCAAAGACTGCCGTCACCCCTGGGAAGCACAGTGCACCCTCCACCACTGTGGCGAGGCCCTCCCCCACCGTGGGAATGCCTGGCAAGACCCTTCACTGCCAGGGATAGGCGAGGTGAGGCCCTCCACCACTGCAGGAAGGCATGGTGGGACCTTCTGTCACCACGGGGAGGCACGGTGGGGCCTTCTTCCTCCACAGAGATTCCCGGTGATGCCATCCACTGTCACAGATTGGTGCACAAGGCCCTCTGCCACCGCAAGGATGCTCCGTGAGGCCCTCTTCTGCCATGGAGATGCCTGGCAAGACACTCTGCTGCTGTAAGGAAGTGTGATGGGGCACTCACCTGCCGCGGATATATATTGTGATATATCAAGATATTGTGATGTTTAGCTGGTGATATATTGTGATCTTGAAAAGCAGATATCGCCCAGCCCTACTGCAGACAGGGAGCCACCCCTGAAAAGGTCCAATTCTCCTGCTTGTAAAAGTAAAATAATTATAATAATTTTAATTATCCCTGAGCAGAGTGCCCAGTTCAAACAAACAGGAGCGCCTGAGCACCTCTGCTGCTTTAGTCTTTAAGAGAGGGGAGACACAGGATGTGATGGGAACCCAGAGAATTATCTAGTACAATCTCCTGCAATGCAGGAACCACAGCAAAATAATCCCTGAGTTCACAGCGAAAGTGCATCACCTTCTGAGGGAGACTGCTCCACTGTCAATTGGCTCTTACCCCTACAAAATTCTTCTGAAAGTTTAGTTTGAATCACCTTTCTTGCCATTTAAATAAATTGAAACACAGACTCATAGAATTGTTAGCTTTCCATACTGCGCTCTGTAGATTTTCTTCATGAGCGGATTTTCTCTTTTTTCTGTGCATGCAGAAGAAGCACCAATACTAAGTTCATAGTTATGTCTTATGTGTCTTTGAATCGTAGAATTGTAGAGTTGAAAGGGAGCATGAAGCCCAACCCCCTGCAATGCAAAAAATCACAGCTAAAGAACCTCTAACAGGTGGCTGTCCAACGTCTGTTTAAAAACCTCCAAGGAAGGAGAGTTCACCACCTTCCGAGGGAGAACGTTCCACTCGAAAGACGGCGACCGTAGAGAGGCGTCCAGGCAAGGCAGCAGTAGCAGCGCGCCATCTCCTTGGCCGAGGGCTGCCCGGAGCTGTCCTTTCAGCACCACTGCGGGTACCTCCGTAAGCAGAGCTCATGCACCAGTCGCCGCCCCGGCTCAATTCCGCAAGGTATTCTCAGAAGAAGGGGAGCAACGGGGACAGTGGCAGACCTTGTGACCTCAAATTTTAGCGGCGCAAATTCGGCAGCTATCCCCACCTCCAATTCTACATAATATTTGTACAATTGACCGGTGCACCAAACCGGTCGCGTTCCCCTAAATCCGCCTCTGGCGGAGTGTGGGGAGAGTGAGCGAACGAGCAATGAGCAAGCTGCGCCCCACCCTGCGCCAGGCTCCCGCGCCGCTGCGCGGCCGGCCGGGAAAGAAGCCAGCGAAGGCGGAGTGGTCGATTGGGAGCGAGTTGGCCGGCCAGTCCCCGCATAGGCTTAGCGGAGATAGGGAGGTGGTGGAGGAGGAGAGCCGAGCGGTGACAGACGAAGATGAAGAAGAGGACTGCTGCCAGGTGGCTGGCTAGGGGATGCCGACGCTCCGGTGCCGGCCATGGTGAAGGGTTTCCCGGCGGTGGCAACACAGCATCATGCACTGCTCGGTGGGAGCCCATAGCAGCAGTAGCCCAGCGGCAGCAGCAGCAGGGAGAGGCTGGGGGCACCATCGGGGCGGGGATCGGCGGTGGACAGGGGGCGCCGCTGCCACGCGTCTCCTTGTGTCCAAAGATGCTTCTGCCGCCGCCGCCGCCCGTCGTCGCCGAGCCACCATGCTGCGGAGGAGGAGGAGGAGGCCGGTGACATTGCCGGGAGGGGGCGCGAAGAGGAGTCAGGAGGAGGAGAAGGAGCCCCTCCCTCGCCCCCCCTTCCAAAAATATGACCAGCGGCACCGCCTTCCAGAGCCGTCGCCCCCGTGCCTCCTCCAGCCCGCCCGACAAGCCTTGCGCCGACTCTGAGCGGGCCCAGAAATGGCGCCTGTTGCTGGCCTTGTTCCTTTTCTTCACCGTCCTTGTTTCTGACAGCCTCTGGCTCTGCGCCGTCGCCGCTGGGGCCCAGCTCGGAGCCCAATATAGGAGCGTCTCCTGGCCAGAAGTCGCGGTGATGGGCAGCGACGATGGTCAGGCCCCGACGGCTCGGCCCTGTCTGGACTTGAGTTCGGCCTGCAGCCCACGGCACCTCCTGCAAGGACCGCCCGGGGTTGCCTTCCCGGCAGCGCGTGTGGAGGCCTCACCGTCGCAGCTGGCCTTTCTGGAGCGGCACTTCCGGGTCCTGCGGCTCCAGTTCTGTGAGGCCTACACCGTCTGGGACCTGCTGCTGGGCATGGACGACCCGGAGAGCCTGGACTGCAGTCTCCGGAGCCTGCTGGCTGACGTGGCGGCGGGCGGAGCGCGGCGCGGGGAGGCCTGCAGCGGCTGCCTCGAGGCCTACCAGAGGCTGGACCAACACGCTCAGGAAAAATACTATGAGTTCGAAGAGCTGCTGGAGAAGTACCTGCAGGCTAAGGACTACTCTGTGTGCTCCTGCCTAAGGGACTGTAAGGTATGGTTATTATCACTATCACTATTACTACTATTAATTGCCATTATATCCCACCTTTCTTCCAAGGAACTCAATGTGGTGTACATACTTCTCATTTAATTCTTACAACAGTCCTCTTAGGTAGGCTAGGCTGAGAGGGTGTATGACTGACCATCCAAGGTTACAAGCAGTGAGCTTCATGGCCACTGTCCAAGCTGTCCAATTGGGCAAACGACTCAAATTTGATTGGCCACGAGCAAGCGGGCTTTAGGAACAATTATTCGACCACTGACCATATGGTAATCATGTATCATCTTGCCAGAAAATATTCTGCCCCGAGTCGGGGCGCCTATGTGTCGCTTTCATAGACCTAAAGGCCGCCTTCGACAGTATCCCAAGAAACTGTCTATGGAAGAAATTAGAGAGATGGGGCATAGATAGAAGGCTGTTATGGCTTATAACCCAATTACACCATGGGTCGTCGGCTAGAGTGAGACTCACACCGGCGGGAAACCTATCCAACGAGGTCCCAATAAATAGAGGTGTGCGCCAAGGTTGCATTTTGGCCCCACTCCTCTTCAACTTGTTTATTAGCGATATGAAGCTCTTTCTGAATGAGTCTCAAGCCAACATTCATGCCCCCCGCCTAGCTGATTTTCGCTGCCCTCTGCTCTTATATGCCGACGATGCAGCGATCCTTTCCTACTCTAGAGTCGGTTTATGCAGAGCTCTAAAGATTTTTGCGGCTTATTGCAAACTCAACCATCTGACAATTAATCATGGGAAATCTAAAGTCCTGGTCTTTACCAGGTCTCGGAAAACTTACAGCTGGAAGTTAGATGGAGTCCAATTAGAACAAGTTTTCAAATTTAAATACCTGGGAGTCTTTTTTCACTACAACCTAAGCTGGAAGCCACAGATACAGTATTTACTAAACAAAGGGAAAACAATACTTTATACTCTACTCCAATTTTTTGCGGCCGACGGAGCCTCCCACATCCCTTCTGCATTGAAGGTGTACCATGCAAAAGTGGTTTCCACCCTCTGTTATGCTGCCCGCTCTGGGCCCCAGGGTCCAATTTAACATCGTTGGGGACATTGCAGAATCAGTTTCTCCGTCGCCTCCTGAAACTCCCCATGTGTGTGAGCAACGCAGCCATACGTCTGGAGTTAAGGATTGCATCATTGGAGACGGTCATCTGGAAGCGAGTCTTTGGTTATTGGCTGTCCAGCTGGCACAGGCTTCCCAACCATTACCTTTTCAGTGCCTCTGGCGGGACGACTTTGTCAATCCTTGGGTAGGAAAAATCCATGCCAAACTTCTGAGCATCGGAATTTCCCCAGCGGACTCCTTAAAGATGAACTTACGCTCAGCCAAAAGACTTATTGAGCAGAGATTAGCAGACATTGAAAATCAACACAACCTCGCCGGGGTGAGGGTGTCTGCTCCCCAGGTATCACGGAATAACCTCACCACTTGGCCTTCCATCATACATGTCATCTCTTTCATCTGTACCACACCGACATGCATTTATTCGTGCAAGGTTCAATGTCTTTCCATCGAACCTGCTGAGCCACAGATTTTCCAAGGGTTTGGTGTCTCCGCTATGCGTGTGTGACGGGAAAACTGTTGATTCTCTCTCACATATAATGTTCAACTGTCCCCTACATAGCATAGCCAGGACTAAATTCCTGGGCCCTGCTTTACTGCGCTTGGTTGGCAGGCCTGCTGAGTCACATGCCGCACTACTTTTGCAGGATACAGATCCTTCTGTAACTCTGCAGGTGGCGAGATTCCTGAATGCAGTTATCTCACACACAAAAACCACCAAAAACAACAACATCAAAAACTAATCGGACAGTTTTGAAGAGAGTGCATGTCGGATCCCGTCTTCAGTTCTCCTTTTCTGGGATCCGTCCCTTGGAGCTCTCCGGGCCCCAAGCTGTTATCTGGCTCTGCTCAATGACCCACCCCTGCATCATGGTGTTCACCTTCTGGTGCCGAATATATTAGTCTTTATGCCTCTGTGCTTTTATGTTTGTACATACTTTATGGGCTAATAGCCGTAAAATAAAAAGAAAAAAGAAAAAGAAAAAAAGGAGCTTCATGGCCAAGTGGGGATTCAAATCCAGGTCTCCTTAGTCTGCCACTCTTAACCATTACACTACACAAGTGACTTGTTTTCTCTTGTGTTTGCTTGCTCACACCTGCACACCTTGCTCATTTAGAGTACCACGTGGTACTCATTTGGAGTAAACTGCTCTGTAACATAGCTGAAATCTAGGTATAGAATCATAGAACTGTAAAGTTGCAAGTGTCACCTAGTCCAGTCCTCTGCAATGCAGGTGGAAGCACAACAGGAAAATTGGTTTTATAAAAGGAGGGAAAGCAGAGGACAGCCTCATATCTCCCCACCCTGAACAGTCAATGAATTTTTGGGCAGGGTGGGTGGGGAGTTGCCATGGAACCTATGATGGAGAAAGGCTACTAGCCACGATGGCTATGCTCTGCCTCCACAGTTGGATGAAGTGATGTTTCTGCATACTAGTTGCTGGAAACTAGCTCTCAAAGTTCACTTGTCCTCTGGAGCACATTGTTACACTATGGAACTTACTCCCACAGGAGGCAATGATGGCCACCAACTTGGATGGCTTTAAAAGCGGATTAGACAAATTCATGGAAGAGAGGGCTATGGACCATTGGCCTGATTCTGCAACCTGTTGGATGAGGTGTGTGACTCATAATCAGAAGAGTCCTGCTGGATCACTCCTCTTTTAAATTTCCTATTATAGGTTTCAAAATTCTGTTACTTACAAAAAATGATGCCTGTTGCGCTCGTATCATGTAGCTTGGTGGAAATTTGTCTACTTCATGAGGTCTAGGAACCTGCTAAATTTCAAACCAACCTGATAAAAACTGAGATAAGTACAGCAAGTTGGAAAGTGCTCCCCTTTGTCTTTGTTGGAAGATTCAAACAGTGTTAGAAACTCAGATATTTATTTATTTATTTCCAATTTTTAAAAATTCATTTTATAACACAAATAAACAAAACAAACAGAAAAACAAACAATACAAACAATACAGATTCTTGTCTTATCCTTATTTTTTCTAAACATCATAATTTCTAACCATTTTTTTTATCACACTTGCTTTAACCATAAAAATCTTCACATTTTATCACTTGCAAATAATACTATTTTAAAATACACTATCTTCTACTTCTAACCCTACAGCCTAAATCCACTTCCAAAGCTATGCTAAGATTTAAATATTAACATGTTTTTTCAAATATTCCTTAAACTTTTTCCAATCTTCTTCCACTGTCTCCTCTCTCTGGTCTCGGAGTCTCCCAGTCAGTTTGGCAAGTTCCATATAGTCCATCATCTTCATCTGCCATTCTTCTATAGTTGGTAAGTCTTGTTTCTTCCAATTCTTCGCTAGCAATATTCTCGCAGCTGTTGTGGCATACAGAAAAAAAGTAACATCCTTTTTTGGGATTTCACCCCCCACTATACCAAGTAAAAAGTCTTCTGGTTTTTTAATAAATGTGTTTTTCAACACTTTCTTCAGTTCATTATAAATCCTTTCCCAGAAGTCTTTTACCTTGGGGCGCGTCCACCACATGTGGTAAAAGGTTCCTTCTTTTTCTTTACATTTCCAGCATTTATTATGATGAGTATGATACATTTTTGCTAACTTCACTGGTGTTAAATACCATCTATACATCATTTTCATCAAATTTTCTCTTAATACATTACAAGCTGTAAATTTAATTCCTCTTTTCCACAATTTCTCCCAATCCACCATCATGATACTGTGCCCCACATCCCTGGCCCATTCAATCATTACAGATTTCACTTGTTCATCTTTCGTATGCCATTCCAGCAATAAATTGTACATCTTAGATAGGCTTTTTGTTTTTATATCTAATAATTCCATTTCCAGTTTGGATTTCTCTGCTTGAAAACCAATTTACTTATCCATTTTAAAGACTTCACTTATCTGGATGTACTGGAACCAATCATCTAATTTATCTTTTCAATCTTTCATAGGATTTTAATCTAAATTGGTCCCCTACTTCCATCAGAATATCATTATACTTCAACCATGTATCTTTCATATTCAACCTTTTATGGGTCTTAGCTTTCAATGGTGATATCCACCTGGGTGTTTTCCTTTTTAGCAAATCCTTATATTTTATCCAAACATTGTACAAAGATTTTCTAATTATATGATTTTTAAATCATTTGTGAGCTTTTATCTTCTCATACCATAAATATGCATGCCAACCAAATACATTATCAAAACCTGCCAAGTCCAAAACGTCTGTATCTTCCAGTAAAAACCATTCTTTCAGCCAGCAAAAGGCTGCAGCTTCAAAATAAATCCTTAAACCTGGCAGGGAGAAACCCCCTCTCTCTTTCACATCTGTTAATAATTTAAACTTGATTCTGGGTTTTTCCCCCTGCCAGATAAATTTAGATAATACCTTTTGCCATTCCTTAAAACAATTCAACTTATAAATGATAGGAAGTACTTAGAACAAAAATAACAACTTAGGCAATACATTCATCTTTATCGCAGAAATTCGGCCCAACAAAGATAATTTCAACCTTGTCCATATATCCAAATCTCTTTTGATATCTTTCCATAACTTTTCGTAGTTGTCTTTGTACAAATTCAGTTTTTTTGCAGTCATACTTACACCCAGATATTTCACCTTTTTCACAAACTTCAGCCCTGTGGTTTCCTCTAAATTAAGTTTTTCATGTATTGTTAAATTTTTTTCTAAAACTTTGGTTTTATTCTTATTCAATTTGAAACCTGCAACTTGTCCGAACTCTTGAATCATCTTCAGCACTTTAATTGCACTGATCTCGGGGTCCTGTAAAGTCAATACCAAATCATCAGCAAAGGCTTTTAACTTACATTGTTTAGTTCCAACTACTATACCTTTAACTTCCTCATCTTTCCTTATCATATTCAGCAGCACCTCTAGGGCAGAAATAAAAAGCAGTGTGGAGAGTGGGCACCCTTGCCTGGTTCCCTTCTCAGAAACTCAGATATTTAAGCTACTCGCCAAATGACTCCTTAATCCTGAGTTATTGGTACAACAACGGAATGTCTAGTCTCTATTTTTATTTTATTTTTTGCAAGATTTGTTGTTGTTTAGTTGTTGAGTCGTGTCCGACTCTTCGTGACCCCATGGACCAGAGCACGCCAGGCACTCCTGTCTCCCGCAGTTTGGTCAAACTCATGTTTGTAGCTTCAAGAACACTGTCCAACCATCTCGTCCTCTGTCGTCCCCTTCTCCTTGTGCCCTCCATCTTTCCCAACATCAGGGTCTTTTCCAGGGAGTCTTCTCTTCTCATGAGGTGGCCAAAGTATTGGAGCCTCAACTTCACGATCTGTCCTTCCAGTGAGCACTCAGGGCTGATTTCCTTCAGAATGGATAGGTTTGATCTTCTTGCAGTCCATGGGACTCTCCTCCAGCACCATAATTCAAAAGCATCAATTTTTCAGCGATCAACCTTCTTGATGGTCCAGCTCTCACTTCCATACATCACTACTGGGAAAACCATGGCCTTAACTATACGGACCTTTGTTGGCAAGGTGATTTCTCTGCTTTTTAAGATGCTGTCTAGGTTTGTCATCGCTTTTCTCCCAAGAAGCAGACGTTTTTTAATTTGTGACTGCTGTCACCATCTGCAGTGATCACAGAGCCCAAGAAAGTAAAATCTCTCACTGCCTCCATTTCTTCCCCTTCTATTTGTCAGGAGGTGATGGGACCAGTGGCCATGATCTTCGTTTTTTTTATGTTGAGCTTCAGACCATATTTTGCGCTCTCCTCTTTCACCCTCATTAAAAGGTTCTTTAATTCCTCCTCACTTTCTGCCATCAGGGTTGTGTCATCTGCATATCTGAGGTTGTTGATATTTCTTCCGGCAATCTTAATTCCGGCTTGGGATTCATCCAGCCCAGCCTTTCGCGTGATGAATTCTGCATATAAGTTAAATAAACAGGGAGACAATATACAGCCTTGTCATACTCCTTTCCCAATTTTGAACCAATCTGTTGTTCCATATCCACTTCTAACTGTAGCTTCTTGTCCCAAATAGAGATTTCTCAGGAGACAGATGAGGTGATCAGGCACTCCCATTTCTTTAAGAACTTACCATAGTTTGCTGTGGTAAACAGAGTCAAAGGCTTTTGCATAGTCAATGAAGCAGAAGTAGATGTCTTTCTGAAACTCTCTAGCTTTCTCCACAATCCAGCGCATGTTTGCAATTTGATCTCTGGTTCCTCTGCCCCTTCGAAATCCAGCTTGCACTTCCGGGAGTTCTCAGTCCACATACTGCTTAAGCCTTCCTTGTAGAATTTTAAGCATAACCTTGCTAGCATGTGAAATGGGTGCAATTGTGCGGAAGTTGGAGCATTCTTTGGCGCTGCCCTTCTTTGGGATTGGGATGTAGACTGATCTTCTCCAATCCTCTGGCCACTGCTGAGTTTTCCAAACTTGCTGGCATATTGAGTGTAGCACCTTAACAGCATCATCTTTTAAAATTTTAAATAGTTCAGCTGGAATATCATCACTTCCACTGGCCTTGTTATTAGCAGTGCTTTCTAAGGCCCATTTGACTTCACTCTCCAGGATATCTGGCTCAAGGTCAGCAACTACACTACCTGGGGTGTACGAGACATCTGTATGTTTCTGGTATAATTCCTCTGTATATTCTTGCCACCTCTTCTTGATGTCTTCTGCTTCTGTTAGGTCCTTACCACTTTTGTTCTTTATTATGGTAATCTTTGTACGAAATGTTCCTTTCATATCTCCAATTTTCTTGAACAGATCTCTGGTTTTCCCAATTCTATTGTTTTCCTCTATTTCTTTGCATTGCTCGTTTAAGAAGGCTCTCCTGTCTCTCCTTGCTATTTTTTGGAAATCTGCATTCAGTTTCCTGTATCTTTCACTATCTCCCTCGCATTTTGCTTGCCTTCTCTCCTCCGCTATTGTAAGGCCTCGTTGGACAGCCACTTTGCTTTCTTGCATTTCCTTTTCATTGGGATGGTTTTCGTTGCTGCCTCCTGTATAATGTTACGAGCCTCCATCCATAGTTCTTCAGGCACTCTGTCCACCAAATCTAAATCCTTAAACCTGTTCCTCACTTCCACTGTGTATTCATAAGGGATTTGATTTAGATTGTATCTTACCGGCCCAGTGCTTTTTCCTACTTTCTTCAGTTTAAGCTTGAATTTTGCTATAAGAAGCTGATGATCTGAGCCACAGTCAGCGCCAGGTCTTGTTTTTGCTGACTGTATAGAGCTTCTCCATCTTTGGCTGCAGATAATATAATCAATCTGATTTCGAAGCTGCCCATCTGGTGATGTCCATGTGTAGAGTCGTCTTTTGTGTTGTTGGGAAAGCGTGTTTGTGATGACCAGCTTGTTCTCTTGGCAGAACTCTATTAGCCTTTGCCCTGCTTCATTTTGAACACAAAGGCCAAACTTACAAGTTGTTCCTTTTATCTCTTGATTCCCTACTTTAGCATTCCAATCCCCTATAATGAGAAGAACATCCTTCTTTGGTGTCATTTCTAGAAGGTGTTGTAAGTCTTCATAGAATTGGTCAATTTCAGTTTCTTCAGCACCAGTAGTTGGTGCATAAACGTGGATTACTGTGATGTTAAAAGGTCTGCCTTGGATTCATATCAAGATCATTCTATCATTTTTGAGATTGCATCCCAGTACAGCTTTCGCCATTCTTTTGTTGACTATGAGGGCCACTCCATTTCTTTTATGGGCTTCTTGCCCACAGTAGTAGATATGATGGTCATCTGAACTGAATTCGCCCATTCCCATCCATTTTAGTTCACAGATGCCCAGGATGTCAATATTTATTCTTGCCATCTCATTTTTGACCACATCCAACTTACCAAGGTTCATGGTTCTTACATTCCAGGTTCCTATGCAATATTTTTCTTTACAGCATTGGACTTTCCTTTCACTTCCAGGCATACCCGCAACTGAGCGACCTTTCGGCTTTGGCCCAGCTGCTTCATCAGCTCTGAATCTACTTGTACTTGTCCTCCGCTCTTCCTCAGTAGTATGTTGGACACCTTCCGACCTGAGGGGCTCATCTTCCAACGTCCATAAGTTTTATATGCCTGTTGTCTTTGTCCGTGGAGTTTTCTTGGGAGGGATACTGGAATGGCTTGCCGGTTCCTGCTCCAGGTGGATCACGTTTGGTCAAAACTCTCCACTATGACCTGTCCATCTTGGGTGGCCCTGCACGGCATAGCTCATAGCTTCTCTGAGTTATTCAAGCCCCTTCGCCACGGCAAGGCAGTGATCCATGAAGGGGTTTGCAAGATTACAAAGCCAAAAGAAGTGTATATTGTCACAATTTACAATTCAGTCACACATTTTACCAATTACAGTAACCTTTTTTAAAAAATGAACTAATACACAATTCACATCAGTGACACATTTTTAATATCACATTTTAAATAGCAATTGTTAATTGGACACCAAAAACATAAATGGGGTTCAGCCTTAGCAATAGCGGCCATCATAAGCATTGTTATAGACTAGGGGGACCCCCTAAACCTTAGAAATTAATAAATGCTAGAATTTTGATTATTTGGGATGTGAAGGGAGAAATATAAGCTGCAGAGGAATTCCTGTGCTAGCTTATGCAAAAAGACCTGACTAAGCTAGGGCCATGAATGAACAATAAAGGGTCATTGAGGGACATTAGCAATGTAAAAGAACTATCCTTCCTCCTTGCCCTGAGGTGTGAACAGAGAATGGGTTTGGAAGGTTGCCGGGTAACTGGGTGTGAGGTGACAGGAAAACAGAGGTTTGCCTTTCTCTTTCTTTTTTTTATGGCTGTTTTGCTGAATTAGGAAGCCTCTCATGACCGCTTTACTCGCGTATCCAAACTAATTTCTTTATCTAAGTTCCAGTCAAAATATTCCTTTACTGTCTCTTTCGCTTTCTCTACTATTTTTGGGTTCTCAAAACAATGTATCATTCATCCTGCATCTAAAAGAGGATTGATCTTTACCTTTTAATTCCAAATAGATTGGAATCTATTTGGAAAACAGAGGTTTGAGCAAGGGTTGCTGGGAGGAGGAAGGTCTGGGATCCATCTTTGGACAGGCTGACTACAGAGCTGGCTTGGAGAGATGCTTTTGACTCTAGGGCTGCACTGCTGTGGGGAACAAGCCCTTCTTGAAATGACCATGCTGTAAAATCTCGCTACTCTTCCGAACATATGATCATCATCATTTCTTCATACTGCCACATCATTTCTTATTTAGAGTCCAGTTGACATCCTTCACTTGCTGTTAAACCATTCTTCCAGCTGGCCTCTTTTTCCATCTTACAAACAGCACCTCTGTTACATCTTATAAATAAGTAATCCATTTCATGTTTGTAGTCCTTCATATACATTGTTGTTCTGGACCTGGTGTGCTGGGAGAGTTCATTACTATCTTCCATTGTTCAGTTTTTTGAAGTGTTTATTTGGATGGTACAAGGTCACATTCCATTCCTCCCGCTGTTTACCAACTAGCGTACGAGCTGCGGCCATAAACAACTCACAGAATGCATATCCAAACTCCACCATTAAAATTCTGCTTTGGAGTTCTTCCTCAGCACACAGGTAAAAACAATATATTTTCTCAAATTCAGCCTGTTTGCCAGATCTGTTCGGCAGCAGTTAATTCTTTTTTCATTGCACCAACAGCACTCCTAGTCCAGTCCAGGAATAATTTTAAATAAAGTCCATTCAGCCTCGGTCAAGGAGGGAGGGCATAGTAAAACTTTGTTAAATTCCTTGTTGAGCATAAATCAAAACCCTCCTCCCTCTTCTGAAGTAACAAACAGAATAACATAGCAGCGGCCACACACGTCTCTTACATTTTGCAGGGGAGAACAAGAAGAAAGGAGACCATTTGAAAACCATATGAAAGCACAAAGCACCATGTCCTCCTCCTTCCTTTCCCGGCTGTTGTAAGGATTTTCTCTTTTTTTATATAATATTTTTTATTGGTTTTTACATATATTTCCATACATATCATAGTATACGAAAGTAAATAAAACATTTGGCTCCCCAAGCCTGTGACTCCCCCCCTTCCCGATTGATAGCTTTCAAACCTATTCTCTGGATACTGCATTTTCCTATATTTCTTATTACTATTAAATCATAATCTTGTGTAAATACTAAATTAACTATAATGAATAGTAACTGATAGTTTTAACCTTACAAAACTTCTTGTAACCCTACTAGCGATGTTAATTGTTTACAATTGTCTTTCAAGTATAACAAAAAATTGTTCCAGTCTTTCAGAAAAGTCTGATCCTGCTGGTTCTGGATTTTTCCCGTCAGTTTTCCCAATTCGGCATAGTCCAATAATTTCATCTGCCACTCTTCTTTCGTTGGTAAATCTTCTTGTTTCCATCTTTGGACTAGTAACTTTCTCGCTGCAGTTGTTGGCTATAGAAACAAAGTTTTATCCTGTTTATGTATTTCTCTACCTACTATACCTAGCAGGAAGGCTTCTGTTTTTTTGTAAACGTATATTTCAACATTTTAAAAAATTCATTATATATCATTTCCCTGAAGACCTTCACTTCCTTACAAACTCACCACATACTGTATGGTAAGTGGTACCTTCTTTTTCTTTACATTTCCAAAATCTATTATTTGTTCAATACATTTTTGCTAATTTCACTGGTGTTAAATACCATCTATAAATTATTTTCATTATACAGTGATACCTCAGGTTAAGTACTTAATTCTTTCCGGAGGTCCGTACTTAACCTGAAATTGTTCTTAACCTGAAGCACCACTTTTGCTAATGGGGCCTCCTGCTGCCGCTGTGCCGGCTGAGTACGATTTCTGTTCTCATCCTGAAGCAAAGTTCTTAACCTGAAGCACTATTTCTGGGTTAGCGGAGTCTGTTACCTGAAGCGTATGTAACCTGAAGCGTATGTAACCTGAGGTACCACTGTATTTTCTTTAAGCGAACTGCATGTGGTAAAGTTTATTCCATCTTTCCACAATCTTACCCAATCTTCTAACTGTATATTATAACCAATTTCCTTTGCCCAATGTATCATTATAGATTTTACTTCTTCAATTTTCGTATGCCATTCCAAAAATAACTTATACATTTTTGACAATATTTTAACCTTGTTGCTTAATAGATTTATTTCAAACCTGGATCTTATAAATTCAAATCCATTTTTCTTTTTATCTTATTTAAATACTTCATTTATTTGACGGTAATGTAACCAGTCATTTACCAACTCTTTTATTTCCTTTCTTTTTTTGACAATAATTTTTATTAGTTTTCAATTACAATAATCCAATGGTAGCCTCATTAACAATGTCAAATTATAATAAAATTACTAATCCCAATCATTCAAATGCCAAATTATATAATTTAGGCGGCCTCCTGTATGCTAGAATTGATGCTTTGATGTGTTACTTTGTTTCTGCGTTTCAAAATTTTATTCATCTCAAGTACATTCCAGTCAAAATAGTTATCCCTTATACAACTGCAATATTAATGACAACCATTTATCTTGACACATTAAATGATTTATAAACCCAAAGGTGAAGCATTCCTTATTCTTTCTGTGTGTGACAATTATTCTGTCTGTGGTGTTCCTTCCTGTCCTTGTAAAATGTTATGTCTGTCTATTCCCAGCCGTTGCTGCTCTCCATCATGACTTGGGTGGAGCTAATATCCCATTATTATTTCAGAAGTTCTTCATTGCTCCGTCCCATTCATTGTTTTACAACTTCAACAGCAGTTGCAAAAATCACACTGTTCCAATAGATATCCTGTTTTCACCATTGTTTTTTCTCAGCTTGGGAAGGAGAGTGATTAAACACACTTCAAATAGCTCAGTAATAAACCTTCCTTGGCAAGCATGCAGATTCCTTTCATCCCCCCTGTTCAGCCGATATATTTCCAATTAAGTTAAATTCCAAGTCATTTTAGCATTATTCAATTCAGTCCACTAATGATAGAGAATAGAGAAGAGTCAGCTCTAAGTTTCCCTCTTGCAAAATAGAGCTTTCCTCCCTCTTTCCTCCCCCCACAATTTTTACACACACAGTTCCATTTGGTGTTATTTTCCATAGCTACTATCCAGCTTCACCTATACATATATACATAATTTAAACTAACATTTCAAGGAGAGTTACCAAATTATAACTCTAGAGAAATATATATATATCAAAAAGCTGGAGGCTCCCCCCCCCCCATATTTAACACCGAATGAAGTCTTTCAAGTTCAAACCTTAACAGCCTTGCAGTTGATTAAGTTCCACAGTTTATGATCTCATCTCTTCTAGCGCATGCCTGTAAATTAGTCCAAATTAAACTAATTAACAGGAGAACCTCTGCTTCTTAATGGTGGTGTAGGAGGGTTATCAGCAGGCAAAGTGCTTTTGCATTCAGTGCCTCCCAGCCTTCCGCATTCCATGCCAGAGTGAGAGCCAGGTACCTACAGTAGATGAACTGCTTCAGCCTATCCCCCCCCCCCCGTCCTTGGGGGAAACTTGTAAGGATAATTACCCTCAATCATCCTTGTTTATCCTTCACTAACGATCTCCTGCTGTCATGGGAGCTGCATCCATTAAGGCAGACTAGAACTGGAAGCCTGTTGTAAGGATTCTCAAGCTTCAAAGAAAACATTCAGATACCCTCAAAGAGACAAGCCCAGTCCTTTCGGCAGCTGATTGATTGCAGCCCATTTATTGCAGTCCATTAGCATATGTCGGTCCAGGAGCACCTCTTGATTAATGCCAATTGTCCAAATTATGGAGGAACTAACCACAAATCATGCTGGAGACAGAGACTAGTCCATGGCAAGGACACGCTCCCAGGTCGCACCCACTCTGTCTTTCAAGTTGGCAGACACGGACTTGAGTGGCACAGCGGAATGCAGTGAGCTCCTCACAACCCACTGGGGAACATTGCCAGGATTTTTGCCTCATAAATCCTAGCTTTCCCCTGCCTGAACCTTGGGCAGTGAGGAACAACCATCATTGACTCGTGACATAGCCAGAAACCCACCTTGCATAAATTATTGAGGGGGCACAACATAATGTACATGACCTCACGCTGCATCAGGCAGCTCAGTTTGGAGCGAGGGGAAGGGAGACGCAGGCAGGTCTCCACCACAAAATGGCTGTCCGTGGTGCTGGCAACTCCACCTGCTGCAAACCACACACCTCACACAAAGCACACATGCAAAGCCAGTTCGTTGCCCCACGTACTGCGGCACTAGAGCCCCTTTCTGCTTCTCGGTGGGCAGGGCAGGCAGCAGAAGCTATTATTCTGGAGGCTTGTTCTCCCTCCAGCTCTTCACAAATACAATTGCAGCTGCAGCTGCAGCTCCTCCTCTCCTTTCCCCTCTCCTTTTCTTTTTTTTTCTTCAGTTTGTCCTGTCCTGTTTGTGGCTGGAGCAATCAAGCAGCTGCCACTTCCTGCCCTTGGGTCATATCTTTACAGTCAGAGAAAAGGAGCAAATTGGTTAGTTTACTCTCTCCCCCTTTAAGGAAAGGTCCCCCCTTTAAAAAATTCACTTCACTTTACCCTAACCCTATACTGGTCCTTAGTATCTGCATTTCTGTAAAAAAGCCAAACCTGGCTAGGCGAGGTAAAAAAAAAGGAGAAATGCTGGTGAAGTTTACTGTTTTAGGATTAATTCAGTGGCAGTAAAATAGCAAAACTGAGGTGACCATGCTAATACTATTTCCCTAGGAATGGGCCTTCCCGCCTTTGCCTTCTCAAAACCAGACAGGCTCCCAAAGCCACCCCTCCTTTGGAAAGCAGTGCCAGGGCTCCCTTAGCATCCAGGAGCTGTAGCATCGGCTTGCTTCCTCAAAACCAGGCAGGCTTTGGGAAGGTGGCAAAGGTGTTTGCACAGAAGGGGCCCAGAGCAAGGCTTGGATGGCTTAAGGTGGTTCTGGGGATTGTGCAACAGCCCATATATATCTCTTTCCTTATCTAGGCATGCTAACTCATGAAAGAGAGAGAGAGTGAGTTACCCCATTGCATCATATGTTAGACTTGGGGTAGCGCAGGAGGTGGTTATCTTTCTTTGTACAGATCAGCACTTTATTTAAGTATTAACTGTAGATTACAATTTTTTTAAAGCTAATGAGTTTGGCAGAACTGCCATACTATTTACATTTTCTTTTTATTTATTTAGTTGTACTGTATTTATATTGTAAATAACAACCCCTATTTGCATAAAATAGAAAATATACATTTAAATTATCATTAAGAAGCCAGAAGGTAAAATCAAATAGAACTAAAAGTATCAAAATATTAATAATCAGCTGTTAAAACATACATATTTAAGAAACACATATTAAATACATTGAGGCCTGCATAGCAGGGGGTTGGACTAGATGACCCTTAGGGTCTCTTCCAACCAAAATGCAAAACTGCACATGCTCCATGTATTTGAAGAGAGAGGAGAGCTTTATGGCAGAGTTCTGCCTTGCATGCAGAAGGTCCCAGGTAGGTTTGATTCATGGCACCATATTGGTCTCCTTTTTGTGCTATTTTAAAGTTTGTGACAAACACTGGAGCATTGCAACTTCCTATGCTCCTGTGTTCACATCCATTAAACATCTATACTGGAACCACCATCTCATTCACAAAATTGATGTTCTATATCTTGCTTGAACTCCAAAGAGCTCAGGGTGGCCTCTGTAGTTTCCCCCTGTCCTGTTATCCTTCCAACAACCCTGTGAAGTAGGTTCGTCTGAGAGTGAGTGAGTGAGTGAGTGGCCCAAGATCTCTTTGGAAGCTCTATGGTTGAGTGAGGATTTGGTTTCTGGTTTCCCTGATTGCTGCAGAACTGCAGTTCTTTGTGCATTTCAGGGGGCTGAACTAGATGACCGCTAGAGCCCCTTCCAACTGTACAGTTCTATGATTCTACATTTTCTGGGTCTCTAAAAGGCTGGTCATTGTAGGGGATGTTACAATGTGGAAAGAGGGGTGTTCTTTTTTTAAAGCAAAAATCTTGAAAGGAGGTATGCAGAGCCACCCAACCAAGACATCAGAGGGATGAAAGATATTAAGATGTGTAGTCTTCTCACTCTATTGAATAATAGAAGATAGTCATGTTTCTTTTGAAATGTATTGTACATATCATTGATGAGAAAACATTGCAGGGAATTGTTTTGATCATGTGAAAACATACAGCAGTTTCTCCACCTGTGTTTGTTTATTACAGATAGCTATCATGGTGGTTGTGTAATGGTTAGATAGTGTGTTGGACTAGGACCTGGGAAAGCAGGGTTCAAATCCCCACTTAGACATGAAGCTCACTGGGTGACCTTGGGGCCAGTCACCATCTCTTAGCCTAACCTACCTCACAGGGTTGTTGTGAGGATGAAATGGGGAGGAGGACATGGGTGTAGCCGGGGAGGGGGGGAGCCGGGAAGCAGCTGCCCCAAAATCAATAAAAATCAATAAAAATACTTAACTAACTGAGGTTTTGCCCTCCCCCCCACAACATACCGTATTTTTCGCTCCATAGGACGCACTTTTTCCCTCCTAAAAAGTAAGGGAAAATGTCTGTGCATCTTATGGAGCGAATGTGTGGTCCCTGGAGCCAAATCGCTGTTGCCCTGCGCTCCTGGGGTGCTCTTTAGGGGTGGGGGGAGGAGCCATGGTGCTCTACTGGCAGTCTCTGCTTTCCCCTGAAGCCCCGACAAGGTTTGCAGGCAGCAGGAAGGCTGTGTGCTCCTGGGGTGCTCTCGGGGGGGGGGGGGGAGGAGCCACGGTGCTCTGCCGGCAGCCTCTGCTTTCCCCTGAAGCCTCGACAAGGTTTGCAAGCAGCGGGAAGGCTGTGCACCTTTGCCCCGCGCTGGGTGGGGGTGGGGAGCAGCAAATTGCTGTCTCTCAGTGCCTCCTAATTCAACTGCAAAGGCTTGATTGCCTAACTGGATTCTGATCTCCATTTGAAGTTTAAAAAAATTAAGTTTGGGGATTTCTTCAAGTAGCAGTTTTGCGGAAATAGTCATAAATACATGCAAAGCATCTCCACAAACCAGTAACAGTGAGCTCAGCTAAAATGGAGCAGTCATCTGGCTCAGGAACAGTTTAAACTGCACAACTATAACCAGACATCCTGTGTGTTTGTGTGTGGACCATGTTCCTAGCAGCTAATCTTTATTGCTGAAAAGAGGCACTGATATGCCAATCCAAATCTATAATTCATTATACAAATTCTTACAAGTTCAGTCCACCTATACCAAACCAAAAACATTGTGTTCTCTTGTTATTGAATGGAAGCTATTTATCTGCCCTCTTTTCCTCCTCTGTCCTTTGCTCAGTCACTCCATTTTGAATCTTCCTTTCAAAACAACCATGCCTGTTTTGAGAAAACTTCACAGATTTAGGAACTGGAGCGCAATCATTTGATCTCTTTGCTGTTCCTCCATACTCCAAGCACTTCTCATTTGCACAGCCCTGGTTTCTCTCCCTGACTATTAATATTCTTGATTAATAACAGTAAAATGCTCAAATTTTAGTTTTTGTGACTGCTGCCAATACTGACTTCCCAGTGATAATGAAAACAGCTACATTATAATGGAATGTCTGTCCTTTTCCCATTCTCTTCATTATATACCGTGGCTCGCTTTAAAGCAGCAAAGTGGACAGGAGCCACCCACTTTGCTGTTTTAAATAGTTTAGTACAACATTTGAGTCAGAACTCCCCCCCCCCTTGTTTTCCTGCTCTAATAACTTGGTGCGTCTTTTCGTCAGGTGCGTCCTATGAAGCGAAAAATACAGTAAATCATTGCTATTCCCATTGAGGAGGAGAACCTTTAAGCAAAGGTTGGATGGCTAGCTGCCATGGATGCTTTAGTTGAGATTCCTGCATTGCAGAGGGTTGGAGTAGATGACCCTTGGGGGTCCTCTCCAATGCTCTGATTCTATGTATACAACCTTGAGATCCCTGGAAGATAAAAGTGATATATAAATGTAATAAATAAAAAAATAATGGCCCCAACTTGGTGGAACGCTCTGTCACAAGAGACTAGGGCCCTGCGGGACTTGACATCTTTCCGCAGGGCCTGCAAGACAGACCTGTTCCGCCTGGCCTTTGGTTTGGACTCAGTCTGACCCTTATGTTTCCCTGCCCTTATGGTCTTGATCTATCGGCTACTTTTAAAATGAGGCTGCATTTAAAATTGCATTTTAACCTGTATTTTAAATTGGTCCCCCCCCATTATGTTTTTACTGTGATTTTATTGGTGTTAGCCGCCCTGAGCCTGGCTCTGGCCGGGGAGGGTAGAGTATAAATAATTTATTTTTATTATTTATTATTAATTAATTATTATTATTATTACAGAGGGACTAAAGTGCTTGGGGAAGGGAAATTTCATCTTTTGAACCACAAATCATTTGGAAGGATACAGTCAGACAGCCTACCTGGGTGGGGTGGGTCAGAGCCTGAAGGAGGGGAGCTGCTGAGGACCATATGGGCATGTTTACAACAGCCACATGTGACAGAGCCTGCCAGCCAGTGTGCATAGCACCCTCAGCCTCAGCCCTTCCCCAGTTGCCTCCCAAGCCTATGGTAGCCTACTTAGCAGACATTTTCATGTACTTGAACACTCTCAACACAAGCCTTCAAGGTAGTGATTTTACATTGAAGATAAGACTCAGGCAGTGATTTAAAAATTATGCTTCTGGCAAGCTGAGTAGAAGGTGGTAGCCTCACTAACATCTCAACACTGGAGACATTTCTGGAGGCCATTGACAAAGCTTTGATACCAGAAGTAAAACATTACATCACTGAGCACCTGTGTGATTTAGCGACTAGCTTCAGAGATTACATCCCTGCAACAAATCCTGAAAACTCATGTATAAGGAATCCTTTTGAATGTGGTGATGTACAACTAACAACTATCTGCGGAAGAGCAAGATGCGCTTGTTGACGTGACTTGTGATGGTTCATTGAAATCATTTTTCAAAGAATGTAGACTGTACCAATTCTGGTTGAAGGTTTTTGCTGATTATAAGTTAGGTGAAAAAGCTTTGAAACATGTAGTTCCTTTGTTTTCCACATATATTTGTGAACAAATGTTTTCAACATCTTGTTATATCAACATTTTGCCCAGAGTGGTTGGGAAAACCCAGCCAGACAGGTGGGGTGTGTATGTATATATACATGTTGCTGCTGCTGCTGTTGTTAGTAGTATTACTAATGAGGTTTAGTAGCTGCTAGACATGTCATAATTTGCTCACTTGTAGTATACATTAATTTAATTAAATTTGTGTCCACTGCAACTAAATCTTTATTTTTGCATGTTAATATCACAAAATTTATGGTCTGCTTTTTTTAGTACGTATACGTAAAATCCTTTGCTTATTAGTGTTGGCTATTTGCAGTTTAGTAGCGCTGCAGAGAGCTTTCTGGGGAGACCATGCATTAAGAAGGGACTCAAAAGTAACTTAAACAAGGTTTTAATAAAAAAAACAAAAACTCCTTATACACTAAATACACCAACAACAAACCAGACCCAACCACCAACCCATCCCCCAGGGTAATGGGAGACTCCTTCGGGTAGTGATAAAGCGGGATATCAAATCCAAACTCTTCTTCTTCTTCTAGGTGCTGCTCCTTATATACTATACCCAATTGCTGACACAACTTGATTAACACAACTCAGCAGCACCTGCTATGTTTCACAGCTGTAAGACTGGGTCTTGTTATTTGCCCTGGCCCTTAAAGACATACACAACTTGTGAAGCAATAATGAACCTTCACATTTTAAAGTGACCATTCAACATTTAGGGGCTACCCCACATTTTCTTCAAAAAAATGTTTTGTACAGCTAACTACCATAGAGTTATCAAAATTTTTGAAAGTAGGGGGTGGCTTGGCTTTTGAAAAATAGTGGTTGTCCTCCTAGCAAGTAGTTGTCTTGGCTAGTAGCAACCACTAGGCAAGGTGAAAGACTTTGCTTATTAGGGATGCAGCACATAGTGGATCTCAGTGGATGGAAGACTGACCACCTATTGAGTGAAGTGTTAAGGAAAATTCTGGGTGCGAGGATGCTCTGCAGCCCAACTCATCAGGGTGCAAGCCCCCGTGGGTCTATGTTGTCAGCAAAGAAGGAAGTACCAGCCAAGTAATGGAGCAAATCAGCAGTCAGTAGACCTCAATCTTTATTGTTGTGCAGGTTCCCACACACACAAGGTAAGAACCTTCCTTCCCTTCCCATAATACCTTTCCAGAAGCATCATCGATACATCATTGATACATCACCAACATGTCACAGGGAGGGAGGGGATATTGTTGTGGGATGTGAAACACAAGAGCAGTCAAGTACAACATCCTAGAGTGGACATAAAAGGGGGTGTCTGGACCAGCCAGCCAGAACTTCCTGTTTCTCCTAGGCTGGGACAGACTTTCTCTGCATGTGACTAGAGGTGGGCATGACCTCACCTGCCCAGGTAACAAAAGAGCAGGACTGGTCAGCCATCTCTCTCTCTCTGACCACATTTGTCGAAGAAGCAACATCTGCTTAGCCTAAGATGCTCTCTTGGCTTGTAGCCAAGAGAGGACAAAGAAGCTGTCTCCTTATGGGATAGTTTCCAGGTGTATATTCCTTTTGTAACTTAAGTCTGCCTTCTGGGATCCATTTGTGAACAGAATGTATGAGTAAACTCTTTTTATACTTTTATAGAAGATTGTGTCGTGTCTATCTTTTTATGAGGGACTAAAGGGGAAATTACCAACGAAACTTATTTTAGAGGCTTTAGCGAGCCTGAGCAAATGCATCCGCTGTGCAAGTTTTAAAAAAAGGGAATGTTACTCTGCTAAATTGTAGAACTTGTTAACACAAGTTGGAAAGGATATAATCAAACAATATATCCTCTCCTGCATCCCTAAACATTCCCACAATTGTGAGGTTGCATGAGTTCCTCAACTTGCCTGTTATCAGATTCAGTTCCAGACACCTCTTAAGTACCCATCACCCATAGAACAATAAAGCTATCTATACATATGCTTGCCCTTCGGGGCTTCTCGAGGATGGGCCTTGTGAACACCTGGCTGTCCATTGTTACTCTCTTTGTTACTGTTCATTGTTACAATGGACAGTGGATGTCCATTGTTACTCTCTTTCCACCTCCCTGGGGAGGGTGTTGTATATGTGCCTCGGGGATTATGGTGGGAGGGGGCATCCAGGTTGTGTTCGTGACCTCACGCTTGGAGGATTATAGAGGAAAGTGATGTCCAAGTCCGCCATTCTCGTAGGAGTAAAATGCTGTTGGAATGAGGAGAATCGGTTATGGCATTGATTTTATATAGTTTTCCAAAGGTTAGCACTCTTCCAGTCAGCGCTGTCAAGTCCAAAAGGATACATTTTTGACACTTCTTGTTACAATGTAACACTTTAAGGCAATTGAAACTAGGATGGATACATTTGATAGACTTGCCCCATTATCTGCACAGCAGGAGGGTGTTCAGTCAACCCTGCAAAGACTGAACGGAGGGTTTTGCAGCAATTCCCTGCTGGTTACCTACTTTGCACAGTTGAGGTCACTGTTTGATAATACCCGATTGGCTAGCTGTCAAATTTTAAAGCTCCCTATTGGTTGATATTTAGGTGATTCACAAATACAGAGTTCATTCATAAAACAGTAATATTGTCTCTTCATTTATACACATGGAGTTTGTATTTCAACGGTTGATTCTTGTAAACATACAATTTTATTGCTATGGTGTAGTGTAGTGCTTATGCGACTGTGAGCGAAGGTAGTTGGGCTTATCATCCCTGGTTTTGAGGAGGAAGGGGAAAACTGTTTCCATGTAGTGGCCCCCACCTTCATTTCCGTAACAGAAGAAAGCCTTTATTTTTCGCTCTATAGGACGTATTTTTCGCTCTATAGGACGCACCCGGCCATAGGACGCACCTTGTTTTAGAGGGGGAGAACAAGAAAAAAAATAATTCCCCCCTCTCTGCTCAGCGCCCCTTCAGTGAAGCGGCAGGAGAAACGGAGCCCCTTCCATTTCTCCTCCCGCTTCGCTGAAGGGGCGCTGCGCAGCTCTCCCTCTCTGCTGAAGCCAGGAGAGTCTTGCTCTCCCAGCTTCAGCAAAAGGAACCCGAAGCCTCCAGAGCACAGCAGGACCTCCCGCTGCGCTCCGGAGGCTTCAGGTGGCTATCCCTTGTATAAATTGTATAGATGGTATAAATGGTTTGCTGTGTTGTGATGTTAACATAGGGAATGGTGGAAAGGTTGGAGAGACATGTGATGCTATGTCTGATAACCATTTTTTCATGCAGGGTGTATGCATGGATCTTCCAGATTGCTGATGTCTGACATGAAGATGTACCAAAGATGTTCAGGACAAAGCAAAAGGGGAAGGCAATATGGGTATCTTACAGAAGCACCCTATTGGTGATGATGAATCTGAAACAGATTCAGTATCAGATGAAGGTTCTGATAGGGACAATGCCAAGGAACCAACGGATGGGTCTGACATGTGGGTGGAGACGTCACAAGACAGGAAGCATAGATTCTTCCTGGGGTATGGAAAAGGCTTGTACAGATGCCTGATACCAAGGTGAGTTCCACTGACACAGCTGGTACAGATTTGGCTGTAGCTAGTAGCTCAACGCAGGTCTTGGAACCCGAAGTCTTGAAAGGGGTACAAGGTTTGTCCTCAAAGGATGGGAAACCATGTCCAGAGGCTGTAAGGGTAGACGCTGTTTCCTCAGAGAGGAACAGAGCTAGAGCTCTAGTCCCATGGAAGGAGGGTAACCAAATGTGCTAGATGTTAAGGCCCAAGGCTAGTCTGGTTGCAGGTAGTTCCAAGGGTGGAACGGGTGATACAGGGGTATACTATGTGTATGACATCTGTATGTTTGTTGCAGTTACACTGATGACTACAACACGGTACACAAATCGGGGGAGGATGTTAGGATTCATTCCCCGTCTTGCAGTCATGGGATTGTTTTTATCACATGACTGTGTATGTTTTCATTCCACATTGTGGGAAGTGATGGAGACAGGATGTTTTTATTACTGTGTTTCCGTGATGTAGGATTTTTGTCCTTTTGTTCTTTCTCTTTGCTGTCTGATGCTGAAGAGGCAGGAGCTGAGTCAAGTGTGTATATGTAAATAAACGTAGTATAGCCAAAAGCTGCACTGCTGAGTCTGTCACACTAACTGCTAACACTTTTGAATCTCCCGAACAGCCGACCAGGAGGGAGAGAACATGCCAGTCGGGCATGTGTCTCTGTCGGACCCCTACTCATGTGTAGGACCTCCTGACAGCGGTCACCTTTTGGCTCCCCCAGCCACAGGCGAGACAATAGTGCAGTTCTCCTTGATCCACTTCAGAACAGCTGGCTCGGCATACAGGTTATAATAATAACAGTAATTTATTATTTATATCCCGCCCATCTGGCTGGGTTTCCCCAGCCACTCTGGGTAGCTCCCAATCGAATATTAAAAACACAATACAGCATTGAACATTAAAAACTTCCCTATACAGGGCTGCCTTCAGATGTCTTTTAAAAGTAGGATAGTTGCTTATTTCCTAGACATCTGATGGGAAGGCATTCCACAGGGCAGGTTGCCACTACCGAGAAGGCCCTCTGTCTGGTTCCCTGTAGCTTTGCTTCTCGCAGTGAGGAAACCGCCAGAAGGCCCTTGGCGCTGGATCTCAGTGTTCGGGCTGAACAGTGGGGGTGGAGACGCTCCTTCAGGTATACTGGGCCAAGGCCATTTAGGACTTTAAAGGTCAGCACCAACACTTTGAATTGTGCTTGGTTGGAAATGTACTGGGAGCCAATGCAGGTCTCTCAGGACCTGTGTTAAATGGTCCCGGTGGCCACTCCCAGTCACCAGTCTAGCTGCTGCATTCTGGATTAATTGCAGTTTCCAAGTCACCTTCAAAGGTAGCCCCATGTAGAGCACATTGCAGTAGTCCAAACGGGAGATAACTAGAGCATGCACCACTCTGGCGAGACAGTCAGCAGGCAGGTAGGGTCTCAGCTTGCATACCAGATGGAGCTGGTAGACAGCTGCCCTGGACACAGAATTGACTTGCACCTCCATGGACAGCTGTGAGTCCAAAATCACTCCCATCCTGCACACCTGGTCCTTCAGGGGCACAGTTACCCCATTCAGGACCAGGGAGTCCTCCACAACAGCCCATCCCCCTGTCCCCCAAGAACAGTACTTCTGTCTTGTCAGGATTCAACCTCAATCCGTTAGCCGCCATCCATCCTCCAACCACCTCCAGACACTCACACAGGACCTTCACTGCCCTCACTGGTTCCGATTTAAGAACAAGGTAGATCTGAGTATCATCCACATATTGATGAACACCCAGCCCAAACCCTCTGATGATATCTCCCAGTGGCTTCATGTAGAAGCATGGGGAGAGGACGGAACCTTGAGGTACCCCACAAGTGAGAGCCCAGGGGTCTAAATCCTCATCCCCTAACACCACTTTCTGGACACGGCCCAGGAGAAAGGAGTGGAAGCACTGTATAACAGTGCCCCCAGCTCCCAGCCCCTCTAGGCGGTCCAGAAGGATCTTATGGTCAGTGGTATCAAAGGCCGCTGAGAGATCCAGCAGAACTAGGAAACAGGTCTCACCTTTGTCCGTAGCCCGCCGGAGATCATCAACCAGAGGGACGCATTCACCACCCCGCAGAGCCCATCGCCCAGCCCTTTCCGGCTTGCTTTTATTAGCCAGGATAATGTCAAGGAGACAGGTGGTTGGTTTCACTCGTCCAAGCAGCCTGTCCACATTCTTGGAGGTAACAGATTGGAATTAATCCCATATAACATGATTAGACAGGACTCCCGCACTCTCCCGCCCCAGCTCTGCTCCCATGGTGGAGTCTCCCTCCTTCTGAATCTGAGCGACTTTATCTGCAAAAAACTTTGCAAAAGCATTGCAGGAGAACTTGGGGTCCCTAGCATGCCCCGGTGACGAAGGTGGTTCCAGTAGATTGCGAACCACCTGAAAGAGTCTCCTGCTGCTGTTTTCTGCAGATTCAATAGAGGCGGTGAAGAAGGTCCTCTTCGCCATCGCCACTTGGTAGGCTCGACGTTGAGCCCCTACCCATGTCCAGTCCGATTCAGAATGAGTTTTCCGCTACCTGTGCTCTAGCCATCTCAACAATTGTTTCATTGCCAACAGCTCCAGGGAAAACCACGGGGCTGTCCGGGCTCCATGCAATCAGAGAGGGCACTTCGGAGCCAGACAGTCAATAGCCCTGGTTAACTCCACATTCCAACGCGACACCAGAGAATCAGCTGAAAGGCCACCAACATGGGATAAAACATCCCCTACCACTCTCTGGAAACCAGTTGGATTCATTAAGTGGCAGGGGCGGACCATCCGAATTGGTCCCACCTCCCTGCAGAGGGGAAGGGTCGCAGAGAAGTCCAGTTGCACCAGGAAGTGATCTGACCATGGCACTTCTTTTGTTTCACTTTTACTTAGTGTCAGATCACCAGCATCCATAGAGGTGAACACCAGGTCTAAGGCATGTCCACGATTATGAGTTGGGCCAAACTTATTCAGGGACAGCCCCATGGAGGCCATGCTTTCCACGAAGTCCCGAGCAGCCCCTTGTAAGGTCGTGTCGGCATGGATGTTAAAATCCCCCAGGACAACCAAACTAGGTGTCTCCAGGAGGACATCCGCCACGACCTGAAGCAGCTCGGGCAGGGAATCCTTGGTGCAGCGGGGAGGTCGGTTGTCAGGAATCCAGCCTCCAGCTCGACCACACAGGGAGCGTAGTTCAGTAGAAAGGATGATTTATTGACCAAGTACACAGATAACGCACGACGGCATTAACACAGCTGCCGCCCTCATGAATTATGATGACTCTTCTGCCGAGTCCCTCCCCTTCCCCCAATTTAAATGGAACTTCTGACCCTTACTTTTCTGCTTCCGCATCCTATCACACACACTCCCCCAGCGGTGACTCTGTGGGCTCATTGGATCCTCTCCAATTTCTTCCTGAGAAGACAGGCTGTCAATCTTCTCTTACTCACCTTTCTCTTCCTGCCTACTTCCCTCTCTGAAAGGTGGCTAGGCTGGCTCATTCATGACATTGGTACACCAAAAGGAATCCTGTGCTGCCCTTATTGCCCAACTTCCAGAACATTCACTCAGAAAACTGGGTCTTCCCAACGGGACACCTGGTGCAAACTAATGACTTCCTAGAAATCACTGCAACCCCCCCTCCCCGCCCACATGACCTGGGTTGCTGTGCGTAAGAGAAACCTGGTGGACAAGCAGCAGCAAGGACAGGCCCATCTGCTTCATCCAACCAGGTCTCTGTCACACATGCCAGGTCAAATCCTCCATCCACAATCAGGTCGTGGATGGCAGTGGTTTTATTCATCATTGACCTGGCATTGCACAGCAACACTTTCAGGTCATGTGGGTTTCCCTTGCTGATTCCAGTATCCTTCTGGTCAGGACTAGACCTGGAGGCAGGGATAGTCCTCAAACAACGACTAAGCCTGCCTCCTCGGTAATGACATGGTCTGATCTTAGCGTAGCTCCTCCTCCTGCCCATGATCACTGAGATTGGGTGTCCTGGTGCTTCTGCCCCTGTGGAACCTGCCCCAGCCATTCTGTTGGCTGAGACCCACTCCCAGGCAGCCCTGACCCTTTCCCCTTAAAAAGCAAAATACAAACTATACAATAACCTAACAAAGCAAGTAAAAGTAAAAACAAAGCAAGAAACAATTATGCTAAAATTAAACTAATCCCCACCCCAACTAAACATTTGTCCCACCCCAAACAGAAAGAAAATAATAAAATAAAATAAATAATAAAAAGCCACCATTTGAGGTGCAACAAATTAACGCTTTTAAAACACTTAAAAACATTTTCGCCACTTGCTGCAGAGAGCTGCTCAGAGTACGTGTGGGCCCTGCCCCCTAGGCCCGATGGAATTGGCTTGCAGGAGGGAGACGTCTTCCTAAACACTCAAAGCAGTCGCAGCAGCAGCAGTTGTCGACGGGGATGTCAAAGAAGCCCTGGGCCAGGGATAATAATAATAATCATAATAATAATTTATTTATACCCCACCCATCTGGCTGGGTTTCCCCAGCCACTCTGGGCAGTTCCCTATTATTATTATTATTAGGCATCTGAGAAAAGCAGTTGAAAAATGTCAAAAAAAGCAGACAGCCCCATAATAACATACCGTATTTTTCGTTCTATAGGGCGCACCGGCCCATAGGACGCACCTCGTTTTTTTTGGGGGGGGGAAATGAATTTAAAAAATAAGACCCCCCCCCCGCCGCGGCGGCCGCCCCAAGCCTCGCGTACTTCGGGCTGCAGGCTACCGCCCCAAGCCTCGCGCGCTCGGCGGGACCTCCCACCGGGCGCGCGAGGCTTGCAGACACTCGCCTAAAGCACGGGGAGCCCTCCGGAGGGCTCCCCGTGCTTCGGGCGACAGGCTGCCGCCCCAAGCCTCGTGCGCTCGGCGGGACCTCCTGCCGGGCGCGCAAGGCTGCGGACACTCGCCCGAAGCACGGGAGCCCTCCGGAGGGCTCCCGTGCTTCGGGCGACAGCTGCCGCCCGAAGCCTCGCGCGCTCGGCGGGACCTCCTGCCGGGTGCGCAAGGCTTGCAGACACTCCCGAGCACGGGGAGCCCTCCGGAGGGCTCCCCGTGCTTCGGGCGACAGGCTGCCACCCCAAGCCTTGCGCGCTCGGCGGGACCTCCTGCCGGGCGCGCAAGGCTTGCAGACACTCGCCGAGCACGGGGAGCCCTCCGGAGGGCTCCCGTGCTTCGGGCGACAGGCTGCCGCCCGAAGCCGCGCGCGCGCGGCGGGACGTCCTGCCGGGCGGGCAAGGCTTGCGGATACTCGCCGGGGCTGCAGGCTGCTGCCTGCAAGCCTTGTGAGCCCGCGGGAACTCCCACCGGGCTTGCAAGGCTTGCGGATAGCTTCCTGAAGCCTGGAGAGCGAGAGGGGTCGGTGCGCACCGATGCCTCTCGCTCTCCAGGCTTCAGCGAAAGCCTGCATTCGCTCCATAGGACGCACACACATTTCCCCTTCATTTTTGGAGGGGAAAAAGTGCGTCCTATGGAGCGAAAAATACGGTAGTCAACGTAATAATACCATATTGGCCCAAATACAAGCCTCACTTTTTTCCCAAATTCCGACCGTGAAAAGTTAAAGTGCAGCTTATTTTCAGGCCAATACGGTAGTATATCTGAAGAAGTGTGCATGCACACAAAGGCTCATACCAATAACAAACTTAGTTGGTCTCTAAGGTGCTACTGGAAGGAATTTTTTTATAGTATTATTATTAGGCATCTGATGAAAGCAGTTGAAAACATCATAAAAAGCACACCAACAGACAGCCCCGTAATAACATAGTCCACTTAATAATAATGTATTGGCCCAAATATAAGTTGCACCTGAATATAAGCCACACCTTTAAAATTCAAGGGGGAAAAATAAAAAAAGATAATAAAATTCTGCAGGCACTCATCCCCGTTCCGTTTTACTGTATGTCTGTTTCAACAGAGATATCGTAAAAGCCAGTTTTTGTAAGGTCGCAAATTTAAGTCGCGCTTTAACTTTTCATGGTCAGAATTTGGGGAAAAAGTGAGGCTTATATTCAGGCCGATACGGCATTGTTGTTGTTGTTGCTATTACTACCACCATTTGTGTCACGTAATGCTCAAATATTTAACAACACCAATTATTATTATTAAAATTAAAAAGTACACCATTAACATAAGTGTTGAATAGTCAAATATTTAGAAAGTCCACACGTGGCCATGTGGGCTGGACTAAATGAGCCCTGGGGGTCTCACCTGGATCTGAGAGGCGTGCAGGTCCATAGTGATGATGTGGTCGGCGCCAGCCACCAAGAGCATGTTGGCGACTGGCTTGGCAGAGATGAGCACCCGGCTCTGCAATGGAAAGTGGGCCGTTGAATCAGACGCCATGCTACAACTCCCAGCGTGCCTGGAAGCAGAACTCCCATCCTGCATAGCCAGCAGGACTCCAACTCCCATCATTCTGAGTAGGAAGGACTGCAACTCCCATCAGGACTCTCTGCCCGCACTACACTTCCCATCATTCTGTGCTGATAGGATCTCAAATCCAAGCATGTCTATCCGGAAGGACTCCAACTTCCATCATGCCTAGGCAGCCAGACTATACCACCTCTCATACCTAGCTGATACGATCACAAACCCCATCATGCCAAACTGGCAGGACTACAACTCCCATCATTCCCAGCTGATACGATTACAAATCCCATCATACCAGGGTGGGGAGATATATATATATATATATATATATATATATATATATATATATATATACTGTGTGTGTGTGTGTGTGTTTCTTTTGATTTAAATAGGGCTTTTTAAAAAATAATAATAAAAAAAATGCTTTTGGAGGAAAAATCTTTCTAAAGATAGTTTTCTATTTAAGATACATTCTAGTCCAAAGGCTATTCATCAGGAAATAAGGATTTGTTTTAAGTTTTTCATGTGTGCTAAAACTTAGTCTGTTTTTTTTTATTTAAAAAAATTGTTTAAACACATCAGTTAACAAACATGGATACATATGGTATTGTTTTAGTGAAATAAATGGTTTGAATTGTGATTAAGGAAATGATTCTTTTTCTCCTTCCAATCAAGTACAGTCATACCTCGGGTTACAGACGCTTCAGGTTGCGTTTTTTCGGGTTACGGACCTGCCGAAACCCGGAAGTACCGGAAAGGGTTACTTCCGGGTTTCAGCAGTCACGCATGTGCAGAAGCGCCAAATTGCAACCCACATGTGCGCAGATTCGCCGCTGCGGGTTGCGAACGTGCATCCCGCACGGATCACGTTTGCAACCTGAGCGTCCACTGTACAGCAGAAAAGTTGTCCAAATAGAAACAGTTAACTTATTAAACCTTACCATAATTTCATAATTATCTGTCTATGTATTTTTAAGAGTAGAACCAAATCAGTCATTTTTTATTTAACTGTAAAAATGACTCTGGAAATTTATTATTCCAAAAATGATATCTTCGTCTTGCTGTAAATATTAAGATGGTACTGGCAAGAATGAGTCTTTCTGTAAAAAAATGCCTTAAATCAAATCCACTCTGGCGTTAGGATTAATCTTTAGTACATTTGTTTGTTGATTTACCGTATATGAAATAGAATAATAAGATTTAGAATTGGAAGGGACACGAAGGGTCATCTAGTCCAATCCCTTGCAATGCAGTAATCAGTGCTGTGCCTTATTACTCCAGTACGTTATAACAAGAGTCAAATTATTGATGAAGGCATTACCCGCTTCAGTAATTGGTGTTGGTGCTGACCTTTAAAGCCCTGAACGGCCTCGGTCCAGTATACCTGAAGGAGCGTCTCCACCCCCATCGTTCTACCCAGACACTGAGGTCCAGCACCGAGGGCCTTCTGGCGGTTCCCTCACTGCGAGAAGCCAAGTTACAGGGAACCAGGCAGAGGTCCTTCTTGGTAGTGGCGCCCTCCCTGTGGAACGCCCTCCCACACAGTATTTTAATATTCTTTTTTTTGGTGTTTTTTTTAAATTCTTTTTATTAATTTTCAGTAACCAAACCAAAAAAACAATAAACACACCAAAGAAAAAAGAAAACATCGACCAAAACAGCAAACATAAACCAACCAAAAGACAGACATTAATTAATTAACAACAAATAATGGTTGACTTCCTTCCATCTCGGTTTTGGGTTATGTAAAATAATAATTCCATTCTGCAGTTTCCGTTTTGTATCATCTACACATCGCAAGAATTATGTTAAACCTACTGTGATTTTTAAATCTCTAGAATTTGTTTCCATGTATGTTATAAATTTAGTCCAATCGTCAGTAAACTTTGTACCTTTTTGCTGTCTGATATACTGCGTCATTTTTGCCAATTCTATATATTCAAATAATTTAATTTGCCAATCTTTAATGGTCGGGATATTTGGGGTTTTCCAATTTTGTGCTAACAGGATCCTGGCAGCTACAGTTGCGTATTGAAACATTATGTGGTCTTCTTTCTTAATCTCGTCTCCGATCATTCCCAGAAGGAAGGCTTCGGGTTTTTTAACAAAGGTGTATTTAAATATTTTTTTTCAATTCATTGTATATGGATTCCCAATTTTTTTTGATTTCTTCGCACTTCCACCACATATGGTAAAAACTTCCTTCTTTAGTTTTACATTTCCAACACCTTTTATCCCCGGTCTTATACATTTTATCCAATTTCACAGGGGTGATGTACCAACGGTACATCATCTTTTCCATATTTTCTCTAAGGGTGGTGCAGGCTGTGAATTTCATTCCTTTACTCCACAACCTCGTCCATTTATCAAAAACCAAATTGTATCCAATATCTATCGCCCATTTTACCATAACTTCCTTGACCTCCTCGTCCTTAGTGTCCCATTCTAATAGCTGGTTATACATTTTGGATAGAAGTTTGGTTTTACTTTCTATTATCTCTACCTGGAACCTAGATTTTTTCTCATTCATCCCAGTCTTTTTGTCTTCCTTCCATAAGGCATTAATTTGATGATACTGTAGCCAACCTGTTAGTTTGTTTTTTAACTCTTCATATGGTCAAATTTTTCATCCTCTTTCTGTTCTTTCCAGGAGGTCTTCATAGGTCCATCTCTCACCTTCTATATTTATTTTTTTAATAGTTAAGATATCAATAGGCGATAGCCACCAGGGGGTATTTTTTTCCAACAGTTTTCTATTCTTTTCCCATACCTCTAACAGTGTTCCTCTAATAATATGATTTGAGAAGCCTTTATGCACCTTTTCCTTATTCTGCCAGAGATACGCATGCCAGCCGAATCTTAAATCGAAGCCTTCCAAGTCCAGCAAGTCTGTGATTTTTAAGACGATCCACTCTCTGAGCCAACAAACGCACGAGGCTTCATAATACAATCTCAGATTTGGGACCGCAAATCCTCCTCTGTCTTTTCTATCCGTTAACAATTTAAATCTAATTCTCGGTCTTTTGCCTTGCCATATAAATTTGGAGAGAATTTTTTGCCAGTTTTTGAATATTGTACTTCCTCTAATCACCGGGACATTTTGGAATAAAAATAATAGTTTCAGCAGTATACACATCTTAATTGCTGCCATTCTACCTGACCAGGAGAGTTTTATCCTGTTCCAAATATCTAATTCCTTTTGAATTTCTTTCCAAGTGTTTATGTAGTTGTCGGCCATTAAATTTATATTTTTCATCGTTAGCCAAACTCCCAGGTATTTTACCTTTTTTGCTTCTTTGATTCCAGATTGAAGTTCTAACTGCCTCCTTAAATCTTCCCCCATATTCAATCAATCAATTTCTTTATTCGACCGATAGTCAGAATTAAAACATTACACAATAATTATAAGCTATAACATCATAAGTTACATAAGGTACATAAGTAAGGTAGAGCCACAGTACTAGATCTCTCACAGATAACCCACGTCAAGGCATTCAATTATACGTTTCCGACACTTGAGTGCCAGGAAAAGAAATTTAGCCACTGACAAGGTTGTTTTCCCAGAAGACTTATTTAGCAGATATGCTGTCTGCTTTCCTCTTTGTCGGGAACTGAGCTGGGGTAAGTATGGAGTTATAAGATACTGTCTTAAATCGTTGTAGAAGGGACAGCTCAATAAAATGTGCTCTGTGGATTCTACCTCACCCAATGCACAGTGGCATAATCTCTGGTCATATGGGACTCCTCCATATCTTCCCTTCAGGACCGCCGAGTCAAGAACATTCAGCCTAGCCGCAGTAAATAGTCTGCGGTATTCCACGTAGTGGATATCCGCCAGGTAGCGAGCTGGGGCAGCCCGATACAACTGCTCCCCCAGAAACAACCCAGGTTTCACACGGGCTATGTCCTCCTGTCTGGCAATATCCCTTAATCTTTGCGCGATCACCGCCTTTGCGTGGCTATACGTCATGGACTCTATATAAAGGGAGGACAACCCACACTTCTGCACTTCCTCCACTATCTCCCCTTCCCATGGAGATTTAAAGTTATCCCTCAGAATCAAGGGGGCCAAACCCACCGGTCTGAAACAGAGCTTGAGCCATAGCCATAACTTCGCTTTCAGGGCCACATACCTAAAGGCTTGACAACCGGTTTCCAGCCTCATGATCGCACCTGCCACAGAGGGGGATCCTGAGTATGGCCCTGAGGAATTGGGTTTGGATAGATTCCAATTTTTCAAAATCCCTACGTGAGCCCAAGGCAATGCCCACCAGCAGAAGAGGGAGGACTTTCATTTTAAAGAGACGTAAGGCAACATTGACAGTTTGTGCCTGTTTCTTGGAGTACAGGGTTCTAATCATCAGGGCTGCTTTGGATGCGTTCGAGGCTATGTATTCTCTGTGCGCCAGGAAGGACCTATTTGATCTTACAACCTGACCCAGGTACTTGAAGCAACTGACCTGCTCTAGAGGAATACCATTAATTGACCATAAATTAGGTTTCGGTCGAGCAGCAAAGACCATTATTTTGGTCTTGGCATAATTTAATTGGAGCTCGTGTTGGGTCTCATATTCATGAAGAGCTCGAAGCATCCTCCTTAATCCGATGGGGGAGGTAGCTAATAGGGCGGCATCGTCCGCATACAGTAGGACATTCAAGGCTCGTCCTGCCAGTTTTGGTGGATGGAAATCAGCATTTGCCATATGCACCACTAGCGAATTTATATAGAAGTTAAACAGAGCAGGGGCAAGCAAACAGCCCTGTCTTACCCCCCTAGTGGTGGCAACCGGGTTGGAGACTAGCCCCTTACTATCTATCCTAATCCTCAAGAGGGTATTTGTATGCAAATTAATAATCAGCAAGAGAAGGCGGCGGTCGATAGATGTCGCTGCCAATTTTGTCCATAGCTGGTTCCTGGGAATTAGATCAAAGGACTGCTTAAAGTCTATAAAGGCGACGTGGAGGGCTTTTAGGCCATTGCCAGCGTACTTGGTGGCCAAGTGATTTAGGATTAAGATTTGGTCTGTTGTTGATCTTCCGGGCGGAAACCCGCCTGTTCCTCTGCGATGATATTGTTGCTTTCCATCCAGGTCGTTAATTTGTTAAGTAGAAATCTTGAATAGATCTTCCCGATAACATTTAGCAGGCTAATTGGTCTAAAATTGGCCGGGTCTGTGCGCGGCCCTTTCTTGTGAATTAACACAATCAGTGCAGAGTTCCAGCTTGGAGGAAATTGTGCTGTTTTGTTTATATAAGTAAAAAGAGCTGCTAGGGGTGGACACCACCAATCCTTATTGGCTTTAATAACATCTATGGAAATAAGATCGTCTCCGGGTGCCTTGCCCGCCTCAAATTGGCCTATAAGTGTTTCCACTTCAGAGCAGGTAACAAGGTCCCACTCTGGCAAGGGGGCCAAATCTAACCTTCCTCCGCTAGCTGCGTGAGCTGCATATAAAACGGAGAAGAAGCTTTCCCAGGTGTCAGCTGAAATTTGGGGTTCTATCCTTGACAACGGTCTACCCAGGTATCTGGAAATTTGGTGCCAAAAGGAGGAGGGATTTCTATTTTCTGCAGCTTTTAGAAGGTTCTTCCAATCATTTCTTTCTGCCGCACGCTTCTTTTCCTTTAATAGTGCTTTATACCTTCTCTTGAGGATCATAAGGTGACTGCTAGGTGCGGAGTCATTTGATGCCCTATATGCCAAGAATTCATTATATAGGTTGTTCTTGAAGTGCCTACATTCCTCATCAAACCACTTTTTATGAGAGAAATGGTTACTATTCATTACCGGGGTCTTAGCCAACGAAGGTTTTAGCAGTTCTACTAAATTGTCATATATTGGCAGTGGCTCAACTGCCTGGATAAGGAGTCCCTTGTCTCTTGCAGTTGGTCAGACCAAAGGAGTTCATTTATCCGTTGAGCCATATTGTCGGTCCATTTTAAGGCAGTGGGCCTCATCTGAAGCTGGTTATTTGTAATAGGCACGCAGGAGTAGGTAGCCAATTCTCCATCCAGGGTCAGAGAAAGTTCTAATGGAAAATGGTCACTTTCCAGCCTCGTTACCACCCTAAAGTTGGAAATTTTGGGAATTAGGTCTGCTGATGTCCAAATAAAGTCTATGGTAGAGGCTCGGGAGCCTGACCAGAAAGTAAATTCGGCAGGGTAATCAGAACTGAGAGCTCCGTTTAAAAGGTGAAAATTAAGAGCCATCAAAGTTTGTCTACATTTAAAACCTGCATATGTAGCAACACTGTCTTTAAAATTCCTGGGTAAAAGGTCTGAGGTTAAAATGGGTAGTGAGGGATATTTATTATATTTAGCAAATAATGATTTATCAGAGTGAGACAATCGGCCATTGAAATCTCCTGCAACTAGGAAGGTGGCTTCAGGATATTTCTCTAGGAGAGTTTCAAGAGTCTGTTGAATTTCCCTCCATCTTTGGACCACCAGGTTTTTCTTATAGATTGGGTGCAAATAAACACTTCCCCCATATTCTTAACCATCATTTTAGTTTTGGTTTTATTTAACTTAAAGCCCGCTACTTTCCCAAATTCCTCTAAAAGTACCAGAACTTCATCGATACTTTTTTGGGGGTCCTCCAACGATATTACCAAATCATCAGCGTACGTTTATATTCTTTCACCCCTATTCTGATTCCTCGTATCTCTGGCGCTTTCCTTATCTTATTTGCAATTACTTCTAATACCATTATAAATAAGAGCGGTGACAGGGGGCAGCCTTGTCTTGTACCCTTAGAGATTTCGAATGCGTCAGTTAAATTATTGTTAATAATCAGTTTGGCTCTTTGACTTGAGTAGATTGCTTTAATTCCCTCCATGAAGGCACCTTCTATCCCTGCTGTCTCCATGCACTTTAATAGAAACTGCCAGGATACATTATCGAATGCTTTTTGTGCATCGATAAAAATTAATACCGCAGGGATTTCATTCTTCTTTTCCAGGTATTCAATGATGTTAATTATGTGCCTGACATTATCTTTTAATTGTCTATTAGGAAGGAATCCAGCTTGATCCATATGTATTACATTTTTTAAATATTTCTTGAGTCTGTTTGCCATTATTTCAGCAAATATTTTGTAATCATTGTTAAGGAGCGATATCAGTTTGTAGTTTTTTATATTCAATTTGTCTGAGTCCGCTTTAGGTATCAACGTGATGTGTGCATCTTTCCAGGAGTCCGGTATCTTCCCTCCTTGTAGGATGTTATTCATTACATCGCATAGCACCGGGGCTAAGTACTCCTCCAAAACTTTATAGTATTTGGCCGATAATCCATCTGGGCCCGGTGCTTTCCCAAGTTTCATTCTCTTTATTGCCTCCTGGACTTCATATATTGTTATGGACTTGTTCAGTTGGGTTTTCTCTTCCTCCGTTATGGATGTTAATCTGTTGTTATCTAAATATTTTCCTATTTCTATTAAATCTTCTTCTCTTTTGTATAGTTTTTTTAAAAAAATTAGGAAATTTTTCTTTATTTCATTTGGGTCTTCCACAAGCCGTTCTTCTATTTTTATCTTATTAATCACATTTTGCTTTTTCCTTTTTCGTAGTTGCCAGGCCAAGAACTTCCCCGTTTTGTTTGCTGATTCGAAATTTTTTTGCCTCATTGATTTATTTCTCCATTCTACTTCTTGGTTAATTAACATTGAGTATTGTAATTGTAGCAATTTCGATGTTTGTTTAATCTGTTCATCACTCAGATTTGTTATTAATTTTTTCTCACATTCTCTTAATTGGGTCAGGATTCCATCTTTCTTTTGTTCTCTCATTTTTCCCCTGTAACTGTTTTGTTGAATTAGAAAGCCTCTTAACACCGCCTTACTGGCATCCCAAACTATATCTATGTTTGTCTCTTTATTCAGATTTAAATCAAAAAAGTATTTTAAGGTGTTTTTAGCCTTCTCAGTCACATCATCGTTTTCAAATAGATACTCATTCATTCTCCATCTATACGCCCCCTGAATTCCACACTTAATTTCCAGGGATATTGAATTATGATCGGAAAGTGTTCTGGGTTGTATTTCACATTTTTCAACTCTTGTTACTAGTTCTCTTGATACCCAAATCTGGTCTATTCTGCCCCAGCTCTGGTGCGGCTCTGAAAAATATGTAAATTGTTTTGTCAATGGGTATTTGTGTCTCCAGATATCCGTCAAGTCTAAATTTTCTTCAAGGTTTTTGAACGATCTTGGTAATTTCCTTAACTCAATTTTTTCCTTTTTGCACTTCTGTCTAGTTCTGGTATTGGTACTCCGTTTAAGTCACCAAGTAAAATCAATTTATGAGTCTCTAAATCCAATAATATTTGTTCCAGTTTTTTGAAGAATTCTGCTTTATTCGTATTTGAAGCATAAACAGTTACCACATTGAATTTTTCTCCCTGATGATTAATTTGTATTCCCAAAATTCTCCCTTCCTCATCCTTGCATATTAATTTAGGGTCCCATTTTTCTTTAGCGTATATCACTACTCCTCTTTTTTGTTTGCATCTGAGTTAATAAATTCAGCCCCCAACCTTTTATTTATCAGAATATGATTGGTTTTTTTGGCCACATGTGTTTCCTGACAGCATATCACATCAAAATTCTTTTTCATCAAAACCTTCGAGATTTTATTCCTTTTAGATTTGTCATTTAATCCGTTCACATTCCAAGATAGAAATTTAAGAGTCATTATCGTGTTTTTTAATTTAATTTTATTTTTAATTCGTACTACCCACGTTTTCAGGCTTATAGTCTAGTTTTCCTGTTCCTTATAATTTCTTCCTCTTCTTCTCCTCCCACTGCGCCTTCTTCCTCTTCTTCTTCCTCTTTCTCCTCTACTTCTTTCCCTTTCTCCACTTTCTCTTTTTCCTTCTTTCCTTCTCTTTCCCTCCCTCTCCTCTGTAATTCTCTCTCTTTCTTCAAATCTTTCTTCCACTTTCCCTAGCTCCTTCTCATATCTTCTCAGAAATTTTTCCACTTCTTGGGTATTCATCAGTCTAAATCTCTTGTCTTTGTAATAGAAGGTAATCCCTTCTGGGAATTCCCATCTATAAGATATAGCATTCCTTTTCAGAACACTTACTATTTGTCTATATCTGTCTCGTTTACGCAAGAGCCTGATTGGAATTTCTTTAAATATGACAATAGGTCTTCCTTCAATTATTAATTTTTTTTTATAGCTCATTCTTAGGATCATATTTTTCATCTCAATTGAATTGAAGACCACTAGGCAGTCACCAACCAATTTTTTCGATTTAGCTTGTTGCGTTTTCCCTCTAATTCTGAATGCCTTGTCTACCGTGTAGGCTACCTCTTCCTCTTTCAATTCTAGCCATTTAGATAGCTCTCTAATCATTTTTTCTTTTACATTCTCATTTACTTCCTCTCCAACTCCTCTAAATTTTAAGTTGAGCTGTTTCTGCCGCATTTCTACCATGGCTAGATTATCCGACAGTTGGTCTTGTCTGTTATTCCATTCTCTTATTTCCTCCTTTATTTTTTCTGTCTCTTTCTTTTGTTCTTTCATCTCCTTTTGAATTTTCTTATTTGCTTCTTCAATTGATTTTGACCTAACTGTCAAATCTTGAATCTTACTACGGCCCCTTCTATTTTCTTGTCTATCCTCACTGCACCTCTCCTAGTTTATTTACCATATGTACCTCACTTTGTTTAAATTCCTCCTTAATCTTTAACCACAAGATGTCTAAATCTTTGATTTCCTCTTGTCGAGACGCTTTCCTTTCCCCAGGGGTCCCTCCTACCTTTTTTCCATTTTCCCCCGACATTTTGCGTTATTTTCCCAAATTTTCAATTTTATTGCATTAATCTCTCCCTTAGAGGGCGTACAATCTCTCTCTCTTGCTCTATCTAAATCCTGTACCTCCGAATATCTTCCTCCCAAGATTTCAGACCCAAGTGGTACCTCTGTTACCAAAAATATAAACGGAACACAGTCCAATCCAGATAATAAAGATCATATAAACACAGATACAGATTATTCCATAATTTCCTCTCTGAGTCCGAAATATATCTACTAAGGATGAGATGTCTATTACCTTAAATCTCCTTGTATAGTAATTGTAATTTACTCCGAACTCACAGAATTAGAAACTTTAAGTTTTAAATTAAAGATCTTTCCCACAAGAGCCCCAAACGTAGTCCTCTAATAATGCTTGGTTTGTTTCCCTAATAGAGTCCAAATAATTTAAGCCTAATTGAAAAGTAATCCTATTTGCATAATTTTTTCTGAGAGATCGAAAAGAGCAGGGAGTACGGAGAAACAATTTTCTTATAAACAAAGCATAATTTTCAGATAGTCCTAATTGGTCCTAATCAGTTCTAATCAGTTCCGGTGTCTTCCGCCACTTGTCGGCTTAATCCAACTTAGGTATAATGTCTTCCACGATTGTTGTCACGTCAAAGTCCCCCCCCCCCAAAAAAAAAGAAAAGAGAAAAAACCCCTCAAAATACAGAGTCGTGATTTGTTTCACTTAGATGTCAAATTGACCAAATGACCTCAATGTCGAAAGTCATTAAATAGATCCAGAGTGTCAGCATCACCCTTGAGCCAGTGCCACCAAGTGGACTCATCCACTTCAGCCCCGACTGGGCTAGGCGAGCTGGGTAGCACTTCCAGAGACCACCTTCTGCACAGGAACAGGTCAAAGTGCTGTGGACTCACAGCTTAGAGTTGTGAGCACCGGATTCACTCCAACAAGAAGACAGTCGTCGCACAGCAGAGTACAGCAGAGTCTAGCAGAGTATATAAACAACTCGGAGAGCAGCTCTGTAGAATATCTTCTTTATTCTATAACTAAAACTATACAAACTATATACAGAGCTTAATAGGTCTAAGCATAAATAAATGCTGCACTGCACTGAGTGTCTGCAGCTGCTCTTAGCAGCAACCTTATCTCTACACACGATCTCTAACACTCAGTCTCTCTCTCTCTCCGACACTGACTGACTGACTGACTGACTCGGTGCTGGAGCAGAATAAGTAGAGAGCAGAACACGCCTCCTCCTCTCTGGAGAATCAGCAGACTCCTCAGGAGATTCTTGGATATGGGAGGGGTGAAATCTCCTCACAGAGATCATTCAGCTTTGCGAAATCAAATGTAATTTAGTTTGGGAATGGGAATTTAAATTGTAATGAAAGAGGTGAGTTCAATATGAAATAGCATGGAGCAGGGAGAGTAGGTGTAATTTCCAGTCTTGACCACTGAGGTCAGAGTCTAGATTCTTCCATCACTTTCCAGCTCAGTCCATTTCAGATATCCTCCTGCAGAGCCAATCCCCTGCCGCTTCAGTGATTGTAAAAATAAAAAGGTTTAGGGAGTCCCTCCAAGATGAAAGTAAGTGTCCGCAGAGTTCCCCAAGTCCTTAATATTGTTCAAGGAAGAAAAAAAAATTAGCAGGAGTTTCGAATACAACCTAATATAGGAGAAGGTGGAAGGGTAATCACTCGTTCACTTAATATGGTGAGGAGGAGGTGAAGAGTTAGAGCTGATCTTACTATGGTGAGGAGGGGATGACGAGTTAGAGCTGAACTTAACTTTAGTGATTCTTTATACACCTCCTTCCATTATCTCTTTAAAGTCCTTTAATGTTCTTTTACCTCCCCCTTCTGAGTGGAATCTCTTTAAATCACCCAAGGGAAAAAAAAAGGAGCGTAAGTTTTCATGCATTCATTCGTTTCCCTTCTCCTTAAAGCCTTCTCAAATCTTTTCGGGGTCTTCTTGACTATCACTCTATTGAGATAAATGAGCGTGGTTACTTTTTACCTTTTGTCTTCCCAGCGCTAAAGGTATTCAAAGTCTCTAGTCAGTTCCTTATTAGTTACTTTGTATTTTATAAGTCTGTCTGCCGCAGCAAAAAAGTTGCCGTGGACTTTTTGTTTTGTACTCACTCAGATAGGCAATCAGTCACTTCCTTTCTTATTCTTGCGACTTTGTTTCCTGCGCCATTTTCCCCTCAATCGGGATGAATTCCCTGCTTTCAATCTTTAAACATCCGAAATTCACTTGGTACGATCTTCAAGATTTTAGGATAAAAATATTCCACTTTCACCAAGGATTTCATTCTTATGTTTCTGGAGATTCATTGCGCTTCTCAGGGGAAGCTGAGGGCATCTCAACACAGGGTCGGTGCTTTCCCGCTTGCGTTCGCAGTCTCGTCGTCCTCGAGTTCTTTCAAAGAGAAAAAAACCCGAAAACACAGCGAAACCACTCTTCCGCTGCTGGGTAGCCTGTCCCTCAAGGGTCCCCCCCTTGAGATTTTTGGGGTGCGCAGTGCCCTTGCGACTCCCCCAAGCCCCCGTGTTGCCCTGGAAAACCCCAACGAGGTTTTCCGTGCTTCCTCGCTGTCCGCGAGTCAAACCGGAAGTCCTTTTAATATTCTTTTGGAAGCCGCCCAGAGTGGCTGGGGAAACCCAGCCAGATGGGCGGGGTATAAATAATAAATTATTATTATTATTATTATTATTATTATTATTACCTTGCTGTCTGTCCTCTCTGGTTCTCACCATATATGCAAGCTTAATCATGTGCAGTACAGGTGAAACTCGATAAATTAGAATATCGTGGAAAAGTTCATTTATTTCAGTAATTCAACTTAAAAGGTGAAACTAATATATGAGATAGACTCATGACATGCAAAGCGAGAAAGCGAGATATGTCAAGCCTTTATTTGTTATAATTGTTATATTTGTTATAATTGTTATAATTGTGATGAAAACCCCAAATTAACAATCTCAGAAAATTAGAATATTAAATGAAATCAGCAAAACAAGGACTGCAAATAGAGCCATATTGGACCTCTGAGAAGTAGACACATGCATATGTACTCAGTTTGGGCCCCTTTTGCATCAATTACTGCCTCAATGTGGCGTGGCATGGATGCTATCAGCCTGTGGCACTTCTGAGGTGTTATGGAAGACCAGGATGCTTCAATAGCAGCCTTCAGCTCTTCTGCATTGCTCAGTCTCATGTCTCTCATCTTTCTCTTGGCAATGCTCCATAGATTCTCTATGGGGTTCAGGTCAGGTGAGTTTGCTGGCCAATCAAGCACAGTAATCCCATGGGCATTCCAAATTTTAGTTATCCATTCCTGGATGGTGTTCTCATTCCACCCCAGTCTGATTTTGACAAATAATAATTTTGGTAGCAGTTAAGAGGTGTTGCATTAATTTGCTGTCCTCTATTAGTACAGTTTCTTTAACGTATTCTAATAGTAAAATTAGAGGATCCTTGGATAAACTATAGTCAGTTATTCCTTCAATTTCCATTGCTATACCTTCCCAGAATTTTCTAATTTGGGGACACATCCAGAATATATGCCACATCCCAGCACCACTGGCTGTTCTGTATCTCCAGCGAAGATGTTAACAGTGTTAAAATCATAGAATTGTAGAGTTGGAAGTGACCCCAAAGGTCATCTAGACCAATCCAAGGTACCAACAGAACAGAAACTTAGAGAATTTTTTTTTTATTGGGACCCTGTTTGTTGAGGAATTGTTTGTTGAGGCTGCTAGCCATGGTGGCTGTGCTCTGCCTCCATGGTTGCAGGCAGAAATGCTTCTGAATACCAGTTGCTGGAAACAGCAGAAAGGGAGAGTGCTCTTGTGATCAGGTCCTGCTTGTGAGCTTCTCCTAATGGGTATCTGGTTGACCACTGTGAGAACAGGATGCTGGACTAGATGGGCAATCGGCCTGATTCAGCAGGCTCTTCTTAGGTTTATGCCAAATCAAATTCCAGGGGTGTTGGTTTTTTATTTATTCCATACAACAGAGGTTTTTAACCTTTCTGAGTCCACGACTCCCTTGACCAACGGCATTCTTTCTGTGGCTCGCCTTCAGCCTGTTTGTGGGCAGTGCTGTTCCCTCTGAGGCAGAGGCTGGACTCAGGAACTACATTTCCTGTCAGGCATGCTTTGGAGGTGACGCAGCCCTCTCTTCCACCACATGTGGCCTCTTCTATTAATCTAATCTACACAGTCCAATCTATTAGGAGGAGGGAGAGGCGAAGGAGGGTCGGAGGCCAGTGCTGCCCATGGCTTCCCCCAAAATCATTCAAAGTGCCCCAGGGTGCTGTAGCACATTGGTTGAAAACCACCGTACTATGAGGATGGGAAATGAAATGGATCCTGAGATGTGGAAAAAGAAAAGTGGAGGTGGGTAGGCGTGGGTGTGGATGTAAAGCCTAAAGTGCTTACAACAAAAAACAACAGTGGGATTACAGTCTCAGGAATGCTGAAAAAATGAAATTATAGCTGCATCCCCCAATTTAGTCTTTGCAAAGCTGTAGGGAACTAAGGAGGGGAGCCCAGGTGGTTCAACAGGCAAGGAAAAGCAGCCCCAGAGTTGACCACTGGTTCCCAGGCACCCTAGTGCCAGAGAGACCCTGAGGAAAACAGGGAAGGGCCCCTGTTAGTGTGGATGGCCAGGGAGAGCTAAGTGAGGAAACAAGTGCAAAAAAGAAATAGCAGGGGCGGTGGAGGAAGGTGTCTGCAATGTGGCAGAGGAAAGGGGGCATTGGTTCAATAGGCAGATGCAACAGGACTGGTGCTTCCAGGGCGCCATTGAAAAAGACAAAAAGCTTGATGTTGCATAATGGCTCTTCAGGGGGGAGTCATGTGGGTTAGTGGCGGGTTCATGGCTGCTGTGGCTTCTACTGCCTGCTGGTAGAAGGGAGGGGGGAGGAGAAGGAAGTGAAGGGAAAGGAGAGGGAGCAGGCAGCGGCACACTTATTGTTGAGAAACAGGCAGTACTTGGCCCAGGGAAGTGGCACCACTCACACCACCTGCCTGCCAGCTTGCTTACTCTTCTGAGCTGCTCGCTGGGCAAGCAGGAGAGAGGAGGGGAGGCCAGGGCTGCCCGCGGCTCTCCTGACAATCCTTCAAGACTCTCCAAGGAGCCACTGCTCACCAGTTGAAAATCACTGTTGTACAGCATTTCTCTCTATTCCTACCTTGACAGCATGCAAGTCTGTTCCCTGTTGAGTTCACATGGATCCCTGTTACCTGACACCCTCTCCTTCCTCCTCCCTTCTTGCAGGCTGTCTACAAGGCTTGGCTGTGCTCTGAGTACTTCAATGTGACCCAACTGCAGTGCCAGCACCGGATCCCATGCAAGCAATACTGCCTGGAGGTACAAACAAGGTGTCCCTTCGTCTTGCCTGACAACGACGAACTGATCTATGGAGGACTGCCTGGCTTCATCTGCACAGGTAAGGCTTAGAATTGTAGAGTTGGAAGAGACACCCAAGGGTCATCTAGTCCAACCCACTGCAATGCAGGAATCTCAACTAAAGCATCCATCCAAAGTCTGTTTAAAAACCTCCAATGATGGAGAGTCTACCACCTTCTGAGGTGGTATGTTTTATTGTCGAACAGCTCTTACCACTTACAAAGATAGGGGATGTACCCCAAAAGCAGAGGTCAGGTGGTACCCGGTGTGGAAAATTTCTTGTCACCCCCCCCCATTGATTTTTTTTTTGCCTGCAAAAATGGTTTTACATTATTTCATATTTTCTTACAAAGGAATGTGGATTCTGGGCCTCAGATAACAAGTAGGCAACTATGGGCAGATACTTAAATCTACAGGATGGATTGTGTTTTGGCTTGTGTTATTTTATTTATATTTATTGTTTATTTATTTAATAAAATCTATTTTTAAAAACCTGCAAAGTGGTTTACCAAAACAAAAAACAAAAAAATACCACAGCAGTAAAATCAAGAAAAATTGGCTGCATGCAGGGGGCGAGGCAAAGGTAAGGCAAGGCCTAATCTACTGGGCCTAGTCTCATTTTCTTCACATAGGCTGACTTTCCATGACCCGGGAAGCCCAGCGGAGGGTACGGCAGTAGGGTGGTTCATAAAAAACTTTTTTTAAAAAAAAAATTCTGCTCCAAAGGTCTTATTTTACTAAACTAGGGATTATATAGCTATATCTGAAATTTCATGCGTATCAGTTAATATCTTGACCCTGCTCCACTGAATTGAAATTTCAGGCTTCACGACATAGGAAAACGGCCAAGTAAACAGCTATTTTCGTGGAGGAGGGTCAAGATATTAACTGATATGCATGAAATTTTATAAATTAGCTATATAATCCCTAGTGTAGTAAGATAAGACCTTCGGAGCAGGCATTTTCCAAAAAAAGTTTTTTTATGAACTGCCCTAGTAGGGCAGTAATTGTTCCTTGATCATTTGTCACCCCCCCTCCATGATGGCACCTGGTGCGCCTACGCCCTACGCCCCTGCCCAAGAGACAACCCAAAATGTTTTATTAACATAATTAACAACCCAAAAGTGCTATAGCAGGGTATTAAATTGTCTCATATCCAGAGGAATCAAACAATAAATACTGTAAATTGTAAGAGGAAGAAATGGTGAGACACAGCAATATAAATCAAGACATCCGGGAAAGGTCATAGAATAAATACTTCAGCAGTTGGTCTGTGAGCACTTAGGAAAGGAAGCTCTGATTTCTAAGACCCGGCTGTTTGACAGTGGAACAGTCTCCCTCGAGAGGTTGTGGACTCTCCTTCCTTGGAGGTTTTTAAGCAGAGGTTGGATGGCCATCTGTCTTGAATGCTTTAGCTGAGTTTCCTGCATTGCAGGGGGTTGGACTAGATGACCCTTGGATCCCTTCCAACTCTATGATTCTATGATACAGCCAAATGCAGATTTTTAAAGGTTTCAATTGCTGGGCTCTTGAAATCCTAGCAGTGTAAGGAGTCGGACTAGATGACCCTTGGAGTCCCTTAGAACTTTACAGTTCTCTGTTTCTATTATTCTAGCTGCAGCTAACAACAGTGTCAAAAGCTCTGGAGTGACAGGTTTTCGTGTTGTTCATCAACATATTCAATAATTATAGTTGTGGGGAAGCCTGAACAGGTGATTTACTTATTTTAGGTATTCCTTGATATACTTGGGATCAGAATTAATGAAATGCGAGGACATTTCCACCAAAGATGGAGGAATGTCCTGTAATGGTTCTAGGGGTTGCTCGTGCGTAAGCTTGTCCCAACCTCTGGCTGGGTTGCCTGAGTGAACCTTTCCTGTCCGGGCAGCCACTCGCCTGTGACTGTCTCAATCGCTGGCAGAATCCGCCAGTGGGCATTTCTTAAACTTCTTCCAGCAAAGAAGCTCTTTGACGCCAAGTCTCCTCCTACTTTCCCTGCGCGGAAGCCTTCTGCGCAAGGAGGGCGTAGGCAGCGGAGGACCCTTCCTCTCCCCGCTGGTCCCCGGCAAGGAGTCATGGGACCGCCTCGCCGATTCCCCCATCTGCCCCCCTTCACCACTGGAGCTACGTTGATTCTCCTCCCCAGAAGACGGGCTGCCTCTCCCACTCCCGGGACGCTCGCTGGGATCCCTTTGGAGCTTGCTCTCTCCTTCGGACACTGATGGCAGTTCCCTGACATGTCCCTTGAAACCCACAGTCGCACCAGCAGTCATGTGCTGACTGATGTAATATGGGACATCTTCATAGGTGTGTTATGCCATCTATGCAGATCTTTGAGGGAATGTTCTCTCACATATGATGGAATCAATTTATATGGCTTATATGACCACAGTGATTTCCTTTCAGATTTCTCTATTTGAACATTTATCTCCTTCTCCCAATAACATTTAAGGCCTACAAATAGACCAGTGGCAAACTCCAAAAACTGTGTAAATAATGGAGACCAGTTATTTGCCTTGGTGTCCATGATTCAGTTCAGTAGGTTCAACTAGGCCTGCCTAGTTGAAGGTCCTCTGCCCCATAACAGCATGCCCTTAGAAGGGATGGGGAAGCTATTTGTGTGTATCCAGCACCTCCTAGTGTTCTGGTACATGCCAACCCTTTTCTGGTCTGTCTCTTGATTTTCAGAATATGAGGAAACCACGTCAGCCAACCCTGGGCTCTGCTGCTGCTGCTGCTGGTAGCTAGTGCCAGGTTGGTCCAAAATAAGTCATCTGCTCTCTGTGATTTGATCACAGAGGTGGACTCTCGTTCCTTGGAGGTTTTTCAACAGAAGTTGAATGACCACCTTTCAGGGATTTCTTAGCTGTGATTTGTGCGTTGTAGGGGGTTTGACTAAATGATCCAGAGGACCTTCCAACTCTACAATTTTGATTAAGAGTGCAAGTTCATCTTGTTGATTTCCCATGCTCTGTGCATTAGTATAGAAACAACAGAAGCCACCAATCATTCCCTCTGGTTGCTTCCTTCTTCCTTTTTCCTGCCCATTAGCGGATTCTAATTCTACCCTGGTTTCTTGTAAATCAGTGAACTCTCCTGAAGGTAGCACTTAGCAGACCTGACACCACTTCTCCCCCCCCACCTCCTCCTTTCTTGTTGTCCTTTTGCCAGGGTTGCTGGAGAGCAATCTGCCTGAACAGGAAGCCAAGTGCTGCGACATGCTGTGGGACTCATGCAACCACCACCCAGACGACAGCTGCAATACATCAGCCAAATCCATCGAGTCAGAGTCATTCCATGACCAACTCCGTGACATCCCCCATCACCACCACCACGTTCACCAGCAGCGGCAGCAGCACTACAACCTCTACTACCACCACACCCAGTACCAGCACCAGCACCATCCATCCCTGCTGCCTGTGTCTGCGGGCTCCCACCTCAGCAGCGGCAAGATCCGGTTCTGCGTCCTGGTTCTAATGCTCCTCCACACCATGGTGTCCTTCTCAAGCGTGCCCAGCAGCACGGGGCTGAGCCTGGGGGCCCTCCCTGCCATGGACGAGACCCTCACAAGGGACGGGGGACCCTCATTTGCAATGCAAGGAAAAGGCAACTGCCAGCTCTTTTTCACCAGTGGGGGGAAAGGGGCTGGGTGCATAAATGCTCTTCCTCCAGTGGCAGGAGGTGACACAGGATTGGGGGTGATGCACACAGACCCACCCCCATGCAGACCCCCCTCCCACCCCCCAGAGCACCTCATCACAGGGACTGCCCTGCGATGAGAGAGTCTCTGAAGCATGTGAGGCTGTGGGAACAGCTTCTGGGGAAGAAATCATTCAACAGCATACTTCAGGCTGGGACTCTGAAGAAAAAGTTTAAATCAGCATCAGGCTTCAGTTAAAAATGGTTCAGTCACCAGCAGGCCTCAGGCTCTAAGGCTCTGGTGAAGGCTTCAGTTGGCAGCAGGCCTCAGGCCGGGCCTCTTGAGAAAATGGTTTGGTTAGCAGCAGGCCTCAGCCTGATGGCCTTTGGCCTCAAAACAGCTCAGAGGCAGAGGGAAAGCCCACAGGAGCAGCTCTAAGAGAACTGTCTTCTGAGGAAAGGCAAACACAAACACCCCAGCTCCATTGAGGGCTGCTTCTTCTCCCCCCCCCCATGTGCCTCGTTTATAGGGCCACAGGGGTCTCTACCCCATACCAAGTTACTTGCACTAGAGGCAACAGAAATGGCTTGACAGAGATCTGTTACGGATTCCCCGCCCCCCTATCATCTTCTCAGCCCAGCCCAAAACTATAATCATGATGGTGTGATGACCTCCTTCCGCCGCCCACCCACCCAAGTTCAAGGCTCCTCCATCAGTCACTAACTCCTGAGCAGCCTTTGTGTGCTCTTGGTTGAACATCTGTCATTGGTTGGTCCTTCAGCATTGCAGAGTGTTGGGCTACATGACCCTTTGGGTCCTTTCCAACTCTACAATTTATGATTTTGCAAGTTGTATTCTCTTGCTCCTTGAAGGGCTTAAGCTGAGGACACACCTGCATCATCCTTGTCCTCTGGGACATGCCACGAACAGCAGGTCCACTCCTGCTCCTCCCTCTTCCCTGCCCCACCCCGAGGTCCTGTCCCTGGTTAACACTCCAATATTTTGAATTGCTTTGGCCATAATTGGGAATTTCCTCATAACTCAGCTTCAAAAGAAGAGTTTCATTGGCAGAGCTGCAGCTGGGGGGGGGGGGACCTTTAGTGTCTGGGCTTGTTCAGTCCAGAAAGAGATGTACTTACCTTTCTGAACCTGGAGTTTCTCCTTGTTATTTGAATTTCCCCATTTTTAAAATATATTTTTATTAGCACTGGTCCCCTAAACCAAAGGTTTTCAACCTCTCTGAGTTCACGACTCCCTTGACTAACTGCATACTTTCTGTGGCACCCCTGTGGGGCTCAGGAGCCCATCTATGTCACCCCTTGCCTGCAGAACTGGCAGCCTCTCACCCTTTTTGAAACACCCTCCCCTGGGGGATGTTCCCTCAGCCTCCTCTCCTCCCCCATCTCCTTGGGAGTCCTCCGGGCTGCTGCTGCCACTGCCCTGGTCTCTGAGCTGCCCCCTCTGCCCCAAAGAGAGATTCCTACTCACACTGCCCCACAGGGGCCTGGGAAGAGGATGCCCCCAGTCTTAGTGGCCTAGTGGAGACTGGCAAAAGTGAATGTGAGACAAGCACCTTACCTTGGGAGGCAGCAGTGACAGCAGTGGGCACTGCCAGGCCTGCATGGTGAAAAGGCTCCCCTTCAGCACTGGACACTAAGCTCCCAGGCAGATCTTGCACACATCAAGCACAAGGAAGGCCAGTGCAGCACCTGCCTGCCTGGCCTCCCACTTGTCTGTTCATTCCCAACAACAAGTGCTGGCAAACTGGCTGGCTGGGCTTCCTCACCTGCTTGCTTGCTTACTCTGAGGCCACCTCAGCTCCTGGCACCCAGCACCCCCTGGCCAGCCCCAGAGGCACCATTTGCCTGCGGAGCTTGTAGCCAGAGCTGTTGCAGCAAATACCTGCGAAAGACTTGGGGAGGCAGAGATGCGAGAGGGCATCAGAGAAGGGAAGGAAGGAAAGAGAGATGGAGGCCAGTGTTGCCCACAGCACCCCTGACCATCATTCAAGGCACCCCATAGTGCCATGGCACACTGGTTGAAAACCACTGCCCTAAACAGTTTCCTATCCTTGCCCATGTCAGTTTATAAGATTGCATAGCCATCCTAATGTTCTCCCTAGCCCACTGGGGATATTCCAAAGGCCCTCTTTTATGTATATCACCTGAGTGTTGCTGGGAGACACAGATGAATCTTAGAAATCATAGAACTGTAGAGTTGGAAGTGACTCCCAAGGTCTGACCCCCTGCAATGCAGGAATCACAGCTAAATAATCATTGACAGACAACTGTTTGGTCTCTGTTTAAAAACCTGCAATAAATGAGAGTCCAACACCTTCCAAGGGAGTCCATTCCACTGCTGAACAGCTCTTACTATGAGAAACCTTTTCCTAATATCTCCTTTCTTGCAATTTGAATCCATTGAGTTGGGTCCTCTCCTCTGGAGCAGCAGAAGACAAGCTTGCTCCAACTTCCATAGGACACCCCTTCAGATATTTGAAGATGGCTACCATATCACCTCTCAGCCTCCTCTTCTCCATTGTAAACATCCCAAACTCCCTCAACTGTTCCTCATAAGGCTTGGTTTCCAGACCCCTCATCATCTTGGTCTCTCTCCTCGGCACACGTTCCAGCTTGTCAATAGCCTTAAATTATGACACCCAGAACTGGACACAGTACTCTAGGTGTGGTCTCACCAAGACAGAATAGTGCAGGACTATTACTTCCCTTGATCTGAACACTAGACATCTGTTGATGCAGCCTAGGATTGCATTAGGCTTTTTTGCTGCTGCATCACACTGTTGCCTCACGTTAACTTTGCAGTCTACTAAGACACCTGGATCCTTTCCACATGTACACAGTTCATGTTTCTTTTAAGGAACTCGTCTGACTCACAGATAATCCCTCAGCTCCAGGAGGAGGAAGGTGATCATTGTGGTCTTGTAGAGACACGATGAGCCTCTCTGTCCATCCAGCCCAGAATTGACCATGCTGATGGGCAGAAACTTTCCAGGGACCCAAGAGAAAGAAAGCTTTCCCCAGCCCTGATTATTATTTGTTTGTTGGTTTATTTATCTATACCTCACCTTTTTCTCAGGTTGGGACTCAAGGTGTCTTACACAGATCAAAATCACACAGATAAAATTAAGCTAAAAACATATAAAAGATAATTGTTAAAAAGTAGTTCAACTTGAATAAAATTAAAACAATATTTAAAACACCACAAATCTATTAAAATACAGATAAAAACAGCACAGTAGTATTGAAAGCCCTTTCCTTTAAAAAAACCAAAAAAACCAGTCCGTCCCCAAATGCCTGTTGGAATATATCAGTCTTTACCTGCTGACAGAAGGACAGTAAAGAGGGGAGCCAATCTGGTTTCTTTGGGAAGGGAGTTCTAATGTTGTCTGGGAGCAGCCACCACCCTGTCCCACGTCCCCACCAAGCAAGCCTTTGAGGATGCTGGAGTAGAGGGAACAGCCTCCCCAGAAGATCTCAGATAGGGTTGTCATATGTCCGGAATTTCCTGGACATATGCGGAATACCACAGTCAGAAGCACTTTCCAGGCAGAAATCGGCCATCCCCAGTGGTTCACCTCTCGCAGGGCGTCCTGTTAACAGCCCGGCCCTTCATGCTTAGCAGCCGAGAAGGCCCAAGAGGCAGAGGTTTGGTTCCAGGCTGAATGGTGGCAGCCTTAAGTAGACAGGAGGGATTTCAGACTAGGGTTGCCATACATCCCAAAAAACAGCTCCACAACTTACGTGTCCAGATTTTCACCTTTTGAAATATGGCAACCTAATCTCAGAGCCCGGGCAGGCTCATATGGGAGGATAGAGTCCTTCAGATAGCTTGGTCCTATGTCTGATCTGAGATGCTGAGATTAGACCCCTGGGGCTCTCTGGATGCAAAAGTAGGTTTTTCATTACCACTCCCCTAAAGGGGCATCAGTAAGCAATAGAAGGAAGAGTGTGGACTTTAAGAACTGCTGGTGCCTACAGGATGTCCCACAACACTTTAGGCCAGTTTGCCACAGGCTTCCCCAAAAGAAGATCCAAGAACTGAAGTTCTGTGAGATGAGAGGGAATCCTCTGTGGTAGCTCGCAGAGTTTGAGGTCCTCCTGGGGAGGATATCAAGCACCTCCACCCACCTGTGCCTGCCTCATAGTCTCATGAAGATGGCAGGGATATCATATCCCAAGGCTCAGGCACAGTGCAAAAAAAGATTTCTCCCCATAAATATTTTGGAGATATTTTTTGTCTTTTACACCAAGCTGTGAGGTTAGGGGTGCAATTGGCCATCTTTTGGCTGCTTTAACTATGATTCCTGCATTGCATTTGTGGAATGCTCTCCCCAGGGAGGTTCTCCTGGTGCCTTCATTACATATCTTTAGGTGCCAAGTGAAAACATTCCTTCCAGGCCTTTGGCTAATTAAAACAATCCATGGCCTTTTAACTGGAGTGATTTATTGTTTTGTTTGTTATGACTTATGTCTTTTTCTGTTTTTATACTGTAAACTGCCCTGTGATTTTCCGATGGAGGACAGTATATAATTTTTTTAAAAAATCCACAGGTTTAGACTAGATGGCCCTTGGAGTCCCTTTCAACTCTATAATTCTATGAAACCCAACTTTCTATTAAACCTGCTTATTCAATACCAAAACACCTTTAAACCCCCATCTGTTTTGGCCTCCAGAAGTTGTGCCTGTTCATTTGATGGTTGGAAACGCAAAGCCAGAATGATTTTGCCTTCCAAGAAGGATGAGGCCATGCCCCCAAGTCCAGGCTGGCTTTACTCCAGTACCCTTCAATCCAAAAACACCGCACTGCCACCCCAACAGCGCTGGCAGTACTCTAATTTAGTCTTTAAAATGTTGAATGGATTCATGTTAAATGTTGTTTTACAATGCTGATTTTTTTTTATTTTTTTAATGATTAATTTGAACACACTTTGAGGACCTTTGTGGTAGACAGGTGCCCCCAGCATATTGAAAAACTGCCTGCCTCTTTTTGTGGCTCCACCAAGTGAGATCCAGTGAGGTCAGGGAGCTTGTGGAGGTGGGCAGGGCTTTTTCCAGCTGGAACTCAATGGAATTGAGTTCCGGCACCTCTCGGATGGGCACCATTGCCATTAGAAGAGAACAAGGGAGGCGTTCATGGTGAGTTCTGGCATTTCTTTTTCTAGAAAAATAGCACTGGCGGTGGGGATGCTGTGATTTGGAGACCCAGGCCTGGTTGCTGAACCCTTCCCAAGTGCTTGTGGACACCAAGACCAGGCCTGCTGTGAAAAAAGTCAATAATAATAATAATAATAATTATTATTATTATTATTATTATTATTATTACTACTACTACTACAATACATGGTGTTGAGGTTTAAAAGCTAAAAGTCCTGTTGCTGAAGTCAACTTTTAAAAACCTTTCTGCTCCCACTGCCTCATTTCTGTTTCAGTTCCTTCTCTCTCTGAGCTTCTTCACACTTTTGCTCACCCCATGTTTTGATTATATCGTGTGCCAGTTTTGATCGTACCATGTGCCAATTGGATTTTCACAAAGTACAGCCACAGAACAATGAGAAAAGTTCTTGGACCCAAGGGAATTTATCAGGATGCAATACAATCAAAATACTGGTTGAGGAAAAGTGTGGATGAGCCCTTAAGCAAAATTGCACTCCAGGTTTTCTGCACGGATGATAAGATCCAGTATGGCATGTTGGATCGGATTTCCACAAGGTGCAGCCATGGAAGAACAAGAAAAGTCAGACCCAAGAAGAATCAATCGATACACAATACAATCCAAATATGGGTTGAAGGAGATTGCAGATGAGCTCACTGTCATAATAAAGTGGCTTGTGTCTTTGGAAGCAGGCGTTGGTTTTCTTCTGCCACTTGACACACTGTGCTTCACCTTTAGAACTTTTTTGCACTAGTTCTTATTACATTTATTTTCCAAAAATGGTTTGGGAGTTGGCAGGGTGGGGTGGGGTGGGGAGGTGAGGAAAGGAGAGATTGGGAAGGGGGGGGGGGGACCAAACAACAAAACGATGCTATAATTCAGTTGTATTGAAACTATTATATTACTCTGTGTTTTCAATAGTCTCTGTACCTGTAATGCTTTCAGTTCCATTGTATTTGGATCAGGGATTTTCTCTGGTCCTTGTTTAACACAGTACATAAATAAAATGTTAAGAATTGATTATAACTTTTCCTTCCAGTGCAATATTTCAGCTTCACAGATTCCATTTCCGCTACCATAGATCCATCAGAGGACAAAAGCAATTAATTTCCAATTTCCTATAAGGCTGATCTTCAACTGGTGGGTTGGGACACAATAGTGAATGACCCTCGAGGTCCCTTCCAACCCTACAATTCTGTGATTCTAAAGACAACCTAGGCAGGGAAACCATCCAAGCCACTCCTCAACCCAGCGGGCTGAGCCAGGTGTACCGCACTGCATTTCTCCAAAAGCTGGGCACTTGGCAATCAGTTGCTCTACTGGAGCAGAGGTGGGGCTGAGTTTGCACAGTAAGGCCCCAGCATGCTTCATGGTGGGGTCTTGGCTGACTTTGTATACAGACATGCACCCACCCTCACCTGATCTTTATCATTTCTGTCATCTGATGTTCTGTAGCTGATGTTTAGTTGGTCTGTTCTACTCGACTAATTAGAGTTATCGAGTTGTTGATACTATAAGCAGAACAACTAGGCTGGGAAAGAATAACATCAATTGCCATCAATAGAGGCTAGTATGAGGCTTGGGATTGCTACCGTGGAGGGGCGAGGGAGGTATGGCGGTGGGGGCAGATGTCATAGGCGAAGGGGATCGAGATACGGATATGCTCGTACCCCTTCCAATCTGCGCCCCATCCCGAGGGACGAGGGTAGGGTGAGCAAGGATTACTCACCTCTGTCACTGGTGCTGTGCAATGCCAGGTCTGTAGGCAACAAAACCGCCACCCTGCAAGATTTCTTTACCTCGCAGGGGGTCGACCTGGCTTGTGTGACGGAGACCTGGGTGCGCGAAGGGGAAACAGTTACCTTACGAGAGATGGCACCTCGGGTTCCTCCGTCCTCCACCAGTCGCGGACTGTGGGCCGGGGGGGGAGGGGTGGCATTATTAATCCGGGAAGATTGTTCTTTCAGGGCTCTACCATCGCCATCGATCCCCGGCATTGAATGTGTTGGCCTAGTGTGGGGCTCCGAGGAGAGCTTGGCTGTCTGGCTGGTGTACCAGCCACCTAGCGCACCAGCAGCCACCCTGTCAGGCCTACTGGAGGCAGTGTGGGCCTTGGAGTTCCCTAATCTATTGGTATTGGGGGACTTCAACATCCATGCTGATGCCACTCCCTCCTCACAGGCTCTGGACCTGGTGTCTTCCATGGCGACACTAGGGCTCTCCCAGTTTGTTTCGGGCCCCACACATCAAGCAGGCCACACGCTGGATTTGATCCTTGGCGTAGGTATAGATGTGGTCATGTCTCCTTCGATGAAGGTGCCATGGTCTGATCACTATGCTCTGAAAGCCAGGATTGACTTTCCACCCCCACCCTGCTTAGGTGGCGAGCCAATTTGGGCTCGCCCGTAAAGGCTGATGGACCCTGATAGATTCCGTCAGGCCTTGCGGGACCTTGCTCCCCCTGGTGACTCATTGAGCTTGTTGAGGGCTGGAATATCCAGCTCCTAGCAGGCATCGATGAGATCGCACCTAGGCGCCTACTGCGACCCCGCAGAAACCGGGCTCCCTGGTTTACCGAGGAGCTTTGGAAAATGAAGCGGGACCTCAGACGGCTAGAGCGAGTATGGAAGGGTGCCCGTGACGGAGCCTCAAGAACATCTTATAGGGTTTTTATGAAAAGCTACGAGATGGCAGTGAAGGCCTCTAAGAAGCCTCACTTCTTGGCCTCCATTGCATCTGCTAGCTCTCGCCCGGCGCAATTATTTAGTATACTTAGGTCTTTAATGTCCCTTGAGGGACAGCCAAATTTAAATAACAATTTGGCACACAGCTGTGAGGCATTTGCGAGCTTTTTTGCGGAGAAGGTCCTGTTGCTCCGCCATGACCTCCCTGCCAGTTTGGATACAATAGCGGAACTGGAGGCCCTTCGACTGTCCTCAGGTCCAGTATTGGACCACTTTGACCGGGTATCCCCAGCCGATGTGGACAGACTCCTCCGAGCTGGAAAGCCCACCACCTGTCCTCTTTACCCGTGCCCGTCTTGGCTGAGTAGAGCGTGTCCAGACGAGGTGCGGGCCCCCCTAGGGGATATCATCAATTTGTCCCTTGGCACCGGGACATTCCCAGGGGAACTGAAGGAGGCAGTGGTGCGCCTGCTCTTAAAGAAAACATCATTAGATCCTTTAGATCTATCCGATTACCGCCCGGTGTCGAATCTTCCGTTCCTGGGTAAGGTGATTGACAGAGCAGTTGCTGAACAGCTTGACAGGTTTCTGGATGAAACATCAGCTCTGGATCCATTCCAGTCCGGCTTCCACGCTGGTCATGGGACCGAGACGGCTCTGGTCGCCCTAACAGATGATCTCCGCAGGCAGCTGGATCGAGGCGGGTCGGGGCTGCTGATTCTTCTAGACCTATCAGCGGCCTTCGACATGGTCGATCACGAACTCCTGGACCACCGCCTTGCCAACGTGGGGATCCAGGGCACAGTCCTTCAATGGCTGCGCTTGTTTCTCTCTGGTCGGGGACAGAGAGCGCTTGGGGGGGAATTGTCATCACGTCACTCCTTGGTGTGTGGAGTGCCTTAGGGTGCAATACTCTCCCCGATGCTTTTCAACATCTTTATGCGCCCCTTCGCCCAGCTTGTCCGGAGTTTTGGGCTGGGTTGCCATCAGTATGCTGATGACATCCAACTCTATCTGTTGATGGATGGCTATCCTGACTCGGCCCCAGACACACTGATCAGATGTTTGGAAGCTGTGGCTGGATGGTTACGTGGGAGCCGGTTGAAGTTAAATCCTTCAAAGACAGAGGTCCTTTGGCTGGGTCGGGACGATATGGGATCGAGGGGGCAACTCCCATCTCTTGTGGGGGTGCAATTAGTGCCAGCACCGTCCGTTAAGAGTTTGGGTGTAATCTTCAACACCTCCCTTTCCATGGAGGCGCAGATTGCAGCTATAACAAAGGCGGCATTTTTTCATCTCCGCCAAGCTAAGCAGTTGGCTCCTTACCTCTCTCGCCCTGACCTAGCCACTGTGATCCATGCGACAGTCACCTCCAGGATTTGACATCTTTCTGCAGAGCCTGCAAGACAGAGCTGTTCCTCCAGGCCTTTGGTCGGGGTTCAGTCTGATTCTTTTCTTTCTGTATAAGAACAAGCATTAAAGAGGCCTCCTAGCCCGCTCACAGGTCCTTTATAAGACCAGTGGTAACATTTGGCCCTGGAGAATATTAACCACTCTCAATTTTACCCGTGGACTGCCATCTGTCCATATTTTAATTTGCTCTGAACTAATTCTAAGATGTATTTTAACTAATTGATTGCCTGTTTTTTGTTCTTATGTTCTTTGTATACTGTCTTAGTTTCATGATGTTAGCCACCCTGAGCCCGGCTCCAGCCGGGGAGGGCAGGGTACAAATAAAAATTTTAAATTTTTATTTTACAAATAAAAATAAAGTGCAAGCTAAGATGAATCAAATTCTAGAGAAAGTGCAAAGTAATGATGAAAAGATAAAGCAACATAATCTGAAAATTGAGCAATGGGAGCTGAGAATGATTGCTATCCAAGACCGGGAGTGCAGGGTTACCGTCCGCTTGCATGGCTTTGTGGAAGCATCAGATGAGAACCCCAAAACTCTTCGTGAGAATATTATGAGGTTGCTGAAAGAGATAGTTCCTGAAGCTCATGTGAGGAAAACCTGAGCTTACAGGGTTAAACAGCTCAGAGAGTACGCTCTGCCTACTAGTGGGAGGGGGGAATTTCTACGTCAGTTCCGAGAGACTAAAGTCTTTGTTCTGTCTCTCTACTTTCGCTTTTGAGGAGAGAGGACGTGTTTTCACGATGCTGTTCGCTGTGATAGATAATGGATAGCCTGCTGTAAATAAAACTGCTTTTAGCTGCTAAGATCCTGTGTGGACTTCATTTAAGCACACTGAAGAATGCACGGGAGTGTTTTGGTTTCCTCTTACCGCTGACGAACTCTGCTATGCTCAGATGAGTCGGACTCTTGGAATGCCGAGACTCTTGGGGGAAGCGTGCCGGACCTCACGCTTATCTGAGCAATAAATCAATTATCTCAGAGGTTATGGGGGCAGTAATTGCAATTAGAGGAAGCCTGCCTTTGATGTGCTGTGTGCTTAAGAAGGCTGAAAACTGAGAAGCTGTTGTTTTTGCTGCCGGAATGCAAAAGTCCTGCTTTGAGGCTTTGCCTGGGAGAAAAGCAGGCAAGCTGTGTGCTGCAAAGCTGGATGCAAGCTGTGTGCTGCAAGGAGCCACTGGAGGCCTCTCCTTTGAAGCTGGCTGGTACGCGTGAGTACTTCAAAGCCCCAATGGAAGCACTGGGGGAGGAGATGGCTGAGCTCCAGGACTTTTATGATGTCCCGTTTGAAAAGCTCACAACCCAGTCCTGGGATATCTGGGTTAGAAGAGTCAGGGGGTGGTTTTTGGCCACAGGGTTCTGGGATATAACCCAGAAGGAGCCCGCCCCACCCATGCCAGTTGCTGCTGGAGAAGGAGGAGCAGAACTGGAGGCTGCATTGCTGGAAGATAGAGAGCTGAGAATGCAAAGGGAGCTCTGCATGTTGAGAGCAAGCGTGGACGCTATGCTGTTGCCACACCTGGAGGGCATTGAGTCGGCTCAGGCCGCCTGGCAGGTGCTGAGGAGTCTGTGTGAGAACTCAGCAGGAGCCCAGGGCCAGGAGGAAGCCGAGAGCAGGCAGGAAGCTGAGAGCCCAGAGGGGGCTGCTGGCCATGTTCCTAAAGTTACAGCTGGGAGTAGCTGCTTTGTCTCCGAGGGGCCGTGTGATGTTGAGGCCTACAACCAGAGTGCTGGGGAGCGTGCAGGCCCAGGCTGTGCACCCAAAGGTGGGGGTGCAGGGAACAAAGGAATGGCTGAAGAGGGAGCCGTGAGAGCTGTTGCTACGCGTCGCCGCTGTTATCGCTGTGGCTCCCCCTCCCATCTGGTGAGAGAATGTCCAGTGGAGGAACAGCCCAAGGCCGTCTCCCGTAGCAACCAGATAAAGAGCTCTTCTTCAAAGCGTGGGAAAGGCAAGCCGAAGGCAGCTGGCAGAGACACTGAACATAAACATTTGGCTGCCTCTATGGCTGTAGTCAAAAGTTGTCAACAGGATGCTGAGCTGGCTTTTGTGATAGACTCAGGATCCTCTCATCATCTCGTGCCATCTGGTGGATTCCTGGAGAACTGCACCTCTGTAAAATCTGGGAAGACTGTCTGTTTAGCAGATGGGACTCGACACCCACTCACGCAGAGTGGCTCACTGTTTTGTTCTTTCTTGCAGGACTCAATACAGGCTTTTGTTGTTCCAGGACTGTCCTGCGCGTTGCTGTCTGTCAGTGCACTTCTTGCTGAAAACTACAGAGTGTGTTTTGAGAACAATAAGTGTTCTATTTCCAAGAATGGACAGCACCTAGTCAGTGTTGAATGTAAAGACAGGTTGTTTGTGATAAATGCTTCTGTTGCAGGTCCAGATGACACGGATGACACGGAGGAGGCTCAAGCGCAGTGTGCCAATGTTCCAGTTCATGATGCGTGTCAACATCTCTGGCACAGACGTATGGCACACGTGTCGTGGGGGTCGGTGAGAAGGATCCCAGAGTATACGCAAGGGTGCAAAATGAAATGAGGTGCTAAGTTTCTAGATTGCAGAGCGTGCAAGTCCGCAAAGGTGAAAACGTGCACATACCCTAGGTCTGAGAGGGTGACCACTAGGGCTTTTCAATTAATTCATGCAGATTTGTGTGGTCCGTTTTCTGTGAGCAGTTTGGGCGGAGCCAAATTTTCGCTGGTTCTGATTGATGACCATACTAGGAATTCTTGGTGTTTCACGATTCGGCGCAAAGATGAAGCTGCGCCGCTAATCAAAGACTGGATTGCGGCTGTGGAACTGCAGTTTTCCACACGGGTGCAAAACTTTCAGAGCGATCGCGGTGGGGAGTTCACCGGGTCTGCACTGCAAAGTTTCTTCCGCAAAAGGGGATTCAACACAGGTTGACTTCTCCACACAGTCCCCAACAGAATGGGATCGCGGAACGCAGAAACAGGACTCTAGGGGAGATGTCCGCAGCGCTTTTGTTTGATGCCGGGCTTCCACAGCGTTTTTGGGGGGAGGCTTGGCGAACGGCCAACTTTGTTCTGAACAGGTCGTTCAATTCAGTGGTAGGTGACACACCGTACTTCTTGCTCCATGGCAAGAAACCGAAAGTGCACTACTTCCGCGTTTTTGGCTGTGAGGCTTGGGTCCTCATACCAAAGGCCAAACGCAAGAAAGGTGAACCCAGGTCCCAAAAGATGATTTTTGTGGGTATGAGCCAGGGACCAAGGGGTGGAGGTTTGCTTATCCGTCAGGGAATCAGTCCAGGATTCTGCTCAGCAACAGTGCTGAATTCTGTGAGCAGAGTGGCTGGGCAAGGATACATGGGAACCCTGACATCCTGTCAGAGAGTCTGCTAGACTCTGCTGATGAAGGAGAGGAAGAGGTTGAACCTGCTACTGAGGCTCAGAGTCCAGACCCAGTGCAGGCAGAGGGGAGAACTTCTCCCAAGGCTGTGAAGAGTGAGCAACGCAGTGCTCCATCTTCCCCCACAGGTTCGGCTGAGAAGTCCAGAAGGCGCAGTAAGTCAGAGGGGAGCTCTCTGATGCCAAGGACGTTCTGGCTGGCCCTAGTGGGTCAGAGGGGGTTCCTGAAGTAGTGCTGCGCCGTTCAACACGGACGACCAAGGGGAAACCTCCTGAAAGGTTTGCCGTCACTAGTGTGTGGGTCGGAATGGCACAGTGTGAACCCGAGAGTTTTGAGGATGTTCAGAAACTGCCTCAGGAAGAAGCCAGGAAATGGCATGAGGCGATGCAGAAGGAGATGAACTCAATGGAGTCTCTAGGTGTGTTCTCCCTCACGAAGTTGCCGGTGGGTGAAAAGGCAGTGGGTAGTCGCTGGGTTTACCGTCTTAAGCCCACAGCGACAGGAGAACCGCAGTATAAGGCCAGATTAGTGGCGAGAGGATTCACGCAGCAGAGGGGTTGCATTATACGGAGATTTATGCGCCCACGTGTAGGAGTGAGTCTCTACGCTTGGTCTTGGCCATCGCTGCACAAAGAGGTTTGCTGGTGCATCACTTTGATGTGGATGTTGCTTACTTGAACTCAGACCTCCAGGAGGATCTGTACATGCTTCCTCCTCCAGGGTTTGAGGGCAATGAGCGAGGTACTGTGTGGAAACTTCACAAGTCAATTTACGGCCTGAAACAGTCGGCCAGGAATTGGAACTTGTGCCTGAATGAAGCTTTGGAGAAGCTAGGTTTCAGGAAGAGTCTTGCTGACAGTTGCCTGTTCCTTAGAGGATCAGGAGACTCACAGGAACTGGTGTTGTTTTACGTTGATGACATCATCCATGTTGGAAAGGCAGACAAACAGGTGCAGAAGTTTGCCAAAGAGCTTGGGAAACGGTTTCAGCTCAAGGACCTGGGTGCAGTAAAGATCTACCTAGGTGTCCAGATAGCGAGAACTGAGGATGGTAGCTTCTTGCTCAGTCAGAAAGGCAAGATTGAGCAGTTGCTGGAGAAGTTCAGAATGTCCGATTGTGCAGGAGTTCGGACACCCATGGAGACGAACTTCGTGAAAGATAGCCAGCAAGCAGAGAGTGCTGAGTTTGAGAATGCTGAGCTCTTTCAGTCAGCTCTAGGTAGTCTGTTGTATCTGTCCCAATGGAGCAGACCAGACATTGCCTTTGCTACCAACCTGCTAAGTAGGGAAGCGTCAAAGCCCAGTGTGAGTGCTTGGCACGGTATCAAGCGGGTACTGCGCTACCTGCAGCATACCAAAGACTTCTGACTTAAGCTG